TTCAAGCCGTTTCTGTAACACGCCCTGCGGGAACAGACCAGAAGGAGACGGGAACGACCACACAGGTGTCGGGGAGAAACGTTCCCCGGAGATCAGAGGTCGAGGCAGGGCCCACTGAAGAGCAGCAGACAGGCCGTCGTGCTGGGTCCACTGCAAGCAGGTGCGCAGTGGTGACCAGAGGGAGAAACGGCTCCGGGTGGATTATGTAGCGCCCGCAGGCCACTGGGAAGCTTTCCCTGAAGGAATCTGAGTTGCTGCAGGGCCTCGAGTACAGCGGGGGCAGGCTGTGCCTTGGTTCTGATTTTTATTCTTTTAATACATTTCATTGTGTATATCTAAGGTATGTGACATACTGTTACAAGGTACACACAGCAAAATGGTCACTGCAGGGAGCAATGAACATTCCCATCACCTCCCAGAGGCCAGCATTTTTAGGACTTCCTGGCAAGAGCAGCTGAAGTCTAGTCATTTCGCAGGAACTCCCAGATCAGCGCAATTCTCTTACCTATAGTCCTCCTTTTGTACGTTGGATCACCAGACCGGTTCCTCCTACATATATATTTTTTGAAGCACTGTGCTTTGTATCTCCTACATATTTTAAGGGAGAAACCCGTCTACCTGCTGGGTTGGAGTGCACTGTTGGACCAGGGAGAGGACGTGAGGTTCCTAGGTCTCCTAGGCAGGAGAGGACAGTGCCAGCAGGGGTTCAGGGGGGCACGGGGAGCAGGTAAGACGAGGACAAGTCTGTGGCTACAGGAAGAGTTGCAGGATTTCTCTGCAGACCTGCCATGGACTGTGAGAGAAAAGGACTCAGAGACAGCTCTGAGATGTCTCTCTGAGGACTGCAGGGATTGAGCCCCTTGCTCGAGTCTGAGATGGAGGCAGTGACTGGACCTGGGAGAGGGTTTGGGAGAGAGACCCACGTCTGAGAGGCAAGTGTGAGGTCACCATGGGGGTCTGGGTAGAACAGAGAGATCACAAGAGGGTGCCAAGAGTCCTTCCACATGAAAAGAGTGGAGAGGAGGCAAGGCAGACGGGCAGCATCGGCAAAGCCAGAAGCCCTCACTGAGGGAATGTCCCTACACAAATCCACTCAAATAGACAAGGGCTTCATTGTAAGGCCTGAAACTGTCAAGCCAGTAGAAGACACAGGTGAGAAAGTCCAGGACACTGGCCGAGGCTTTGGGTCACACCATTTCTTGCATATGACCCTAAAGGAAAATACACATGCAGGATTGCATAGAGCTCAGAAGCTTCTGCACGGCAAAGGAAATCAGCAGCAGAGTGAAGACGACTCACAAGTCGGGAGAGAATATTTGCAAACCATACATTGGGCGGGGGGTTATACCCTATATACACACGGAACTCAAACTGAATAGCAGGGAAGCGAATAAACACGGCCAAAGGACCCGAACCGACGTTTCTCAAGAAGACCCCCCAGTGGCCAGCAGGTATATAAACACGCTCAGCATCACCAATCACCAGGGACACCAAACCAAACCGCGGATTACCTCACACCTCTCAGAGTAGCTCATTTCTTTCTTTCTTTTTTTTTTTTCAAGAAGGGAAAGGAGGCAGGGGCAGCTCAGGGAGCAGAACGGCTAATTTCAAAGGCTATAATGTTGGCGAGAATGTAAATTAGTACAGCCATTATGGAGAAGCATACGGAGGTTACTAAAAAGATTAGAAAGAATTGTGACCCAGCAATCCTACCGCTAAGCTACTGAGAAATACCGAGTTTATGAATATTGATGCATGCTGAGAGTACAATAGAATATATTGCTTGCTAGGAAGAACGATGGCACGGAAAACCTAGCAGACCCCCCCAACAAGTGGAAAGCCATTTGGGGCATTCCAAAGTGGCAGGACAATGTAGAACTATCACCCACCAGTTAAAACAATGCTTTGAGATATCTGGCCCTGCCCCCGGGGCTCCCTCGTGGAGAACGCCTTTCAGTTTGTCTGTAGTCAGGGGTAAGTGGGTAACAGCTGCCTGCTTGGTATATTTTTGAGTTATGAGAAAACACAGAACACCTGTTTGTTAATAATAATTACCTGTTGAGAGAGACTCTGGATGAGAATCTGCTCCGGGCCTTCAGCCTGGCGTGCTGTCAGCCCCTGAGGCTCTCAGCTGGGTAGGCTGCTCCCCCCAGATAGGTCCACTTTGCTGTTCTGTCTGGTGTCTGCCTCTCACTGGTTCAGTGCTGCCTGGGTGGGGTCTCCCGGCCGAGCTGGTACTCAGTACTAAGCATTTTCCGGAAGAAGATGAGTGGAAGAGATACCCAGACTTCTGTTTCTTCCAGCAGTTTCACAGCAGCCAAGTTATAAATCAGCACGCGTGGCCTAGAAGCCAGTGGGTAAAGGGACAAAGTGGATGGAGAAAATGTGTATACACACCGTGGAATACTATGCGGCCAGAAAAAGGGAAACTCGGCCATTTGCTACACGGGTGAATGTGGAGTCCATTAAGTGAAATGAGCTGGGAACAGGACAAATATCACATGATCCCACATGTGGAATGAAAATACTGATTTACAGAAAGAGAGAGAGAGAGCAGTGGTTAGCAGGGACTGGGACCAGGGGTCTGGGGAAATTCTGGTCAAAGGGTACAGAGTTCCTGTTTACAATAACTCAAGGCCTTTGTGCAGCATGGTGACTCCAGAGGATAACCGTGTACTGTGTGCAGTCAGCCTCTGTGTCTCAGTGTCCCACATACCTGCAGAGGGCGGGCTGACTGCAGGGGACTTGAGCATCCGTGGATTTTGGTATCTATGAATCGGTCCTGGAACCAATCCCCCTCGGACTCAGAGGGATGCCTGTATCTGAAATTGCCAAGTATGGATTTCAAATGTTCTTACAGATACATTAATCTGCTTGCCTCTGTCACTCCAGTATACAGGTATCAAAGCATCACACTGTGCCCCAGAAATCCATCACTGTTTTAAACAGAAAGAGGTTTCGATTGACACGGTGGGATGTTGTTGGCCGGCTAGGTGAGGATGGTAAAGCCACTCAGACCTGGTGATACGGAGAGTCTGGTGTTGCTGGGGGCTGTGTCATCGGGACCTGGTGATGTGATCTGGTGTTGCGGGGGGCTGTGTCATCAGAACCTGGTGATGTGGAGTTTGGTGTTTTGGGGGGCTGTGTCATCAGGACCTGGTGATGTGGAGTTTGGTGTTGCAGGGGGCTGTCATCAGAACCTGGTGATGTGGAGTCTGGTGTTGTGGGGGGCTGTGTTATCAGAACCTGGTGATGTGGAGTCTGGTGTTGTGGGGGACTGTGTCATCAGGACCTGGTGATGTGGAGTCTGGTGTTGTGGGGGACTGTGTCATCATGCGGGGGGCTGTCATCAGGACCTGGTGATGTGGAGTCTGGTGTTGTGGGGGGCTGTGTCATCAGAACCTGGTGATGTGGAGTCTGGTGTTGCGGGGGGCTGTGTGATCGGGACCTGGTGATGTGGAGTCTGGTGTTGCGGGGGGCTGTGTGATCGGGACCTGGTGATGTGGAGTCTGGTGTTGTGGGGGGCTGTGTCATCAGAACCTGGTGATGTGGAGTCTGGTGTTGTGGGGGACTGTGTCATCAGGACCTGGTGATATGGAGTCTGGTGTTGTGGGGGGCTGTGTCATCAGGACCTGGTGATGTGGAGTCTGGTGTTGCGGGGGGACTGTGTCATCAGGACCTGGTGATGTGGAGTCTGGTGTTGCGGGGGGACTGTGTCATCGGGACCTGGTGATGTGGAGTCTGGTGTTGCGGGGGGCTGTGTGATCGGGACCTGGTGATGTGGAGTCTGGTGTTGCGGGGGGGCTGTGTGATCGGGACCTGGTGATGTGGAGTCTGGTGTTGTGGGGGGCTGTGTCATCAGAACCTGGTGATGTGGAGTCTGGTGTTGTGGGGGACTGTGTCATCAGGACCTGGTGATATGGAGTCTGGTGTTGTGGGGGGCTGTGTCATCGGGACCTGGTGATGTGGAGTCTGGTGTTGTGGGGGGCTGTGTCATCAGGACCTGGTGATGTGGAGTCTGGTGTTGTGGGGGACTGTGTCATCATGCGGGGGGCTGTCATCAGGACCTGGTGATGTGGAGTCTGGTGTTGTGGGGGGCTGTGTCATCAGAACCTGGTGATGTGGAGTCTGGTGTTGTGGGGGGCTGTGTCATCAGGACCTGGTGATGTGGAGTCTGGTGTTGCGGGGGGCTGTGTGATCGGGACCTGGTGATGTGGAGTCTGGTGTTGCGGGGGGCTGTGATCGGGACCTGGTGATGTGGAGTCTGGTGTTGCAGGGGGCTGTGTGATCGGGACCTGGTGATGTGGAGTCTGGTGTTGCGGGGGGCTGTGTGATCGGGACCTGGTGATGTGGAGTCTGGTGTTGCGGTGGACTCTGTCATGAGGGTCCGCTGGGCGAGCATCGCAGGTGTACAGGGCAGGGTAGGACGGGGTGCTGGGACAATTGCAGTGGGCATAGATGCCGAGAACGACAAACTGGAGGTCTCGGGATTCGGAGGTTGTTGGTGTCCTGACAAAGATTCTGCCTGGCCAAACTCTGGCCAGGGTCTGGCACCTTCTCCCAGGGCCCTCTCTGTGCACTTTCTTATGAAATCCAGTTTTAGCAAGAACCGTAATTTGGTTTAACTAATGTCCACCCTCAATGGTATCTGACTGGGTTCCTCAGATCGTTTGCAGCCGACAGCTGTTCACCCTGCCCGCCTGCAGCAAGGATCCTGTGAGGCGGGTTTAGCTGGAGCACTCTCACCCCTCCTATCTCCTAGTCATTCCCACCCACTGGCCCCACACTGCTCCTCGGCATCTCCACCCACCCTGTCCTGCTGTGTAGCGGTTGAGCCCCATCTCTCCCAAGGCCCCAAGGCAAGGGCCCCACATCCATCTTGATAGTCCCCGTGAAAGTCTTCCTCACCAAGTGTCAGGAGGAATCTTCCTTTAACACCGGAGGGTGGCCAGGGCAGGGGGAAGCGGCCAGGTGGACACAAAGAGACGAAGCAAACGGGCTGAAGCAAACACTTTATTCAGCACGGAGCCAGTCCAGGCACTGGGCAGGTCAAACTCACAGACGTCGCACCAAGGCCAGAGATGGGAAGGGCTGAAAGGCTTCTGGAAACGGGCACCACCGCTCACAGGCCCAGCCAGCCCCACATCTGAACATCTGTCTGCATCTATGTCCCCGACTTTGCAATCCTGTCCCCAGTGCTGAGTTTCTGTCAACTAGACTAATTTATCTACACACAAGGATGCTGCAGGCAATGGAGCTACTGCTACGAGCTTTGCAAACTTCAACTACTAAAGGAAATGACAGCCAGAGATAACAGCAAGATGAGACACCACCGCGGGGCCTGGAGCCACCTGCCAGCCCCTCACCTGGGGAAAAGAGGGTCCCTTCTGTGGAGGCAGGTGGAGCACAGGCAGGGCTCCCAGGAGCCAAAGGAGTGAGGAGGGACTTGGGAGGGGGAGGTGGATGAGGCTGAGCGGGGCCCACACCCACCCCAAGAGCAGGGCCCCTCCTCAGGAGGCCTCGAGGTGCCATCGTCTTCCTTCTCTTCCCTGCAGCCTGAGTTCCAGCCTTCTCACGGCCTCATGTGCATTCTTGTTTCTGACCCTCAATGGTGTGCCTCATGCCTCGCGTACCTGCCAAGGATCTGGGGCCCCACATGGAAGGTGCAGGGTCTGGGTCCCTGGATGACAAGGTGAGGGGTTGATGGCTGATGAGGAATGGCATGGCCCGGGGCTGCCGGGACTCGTGGAGGATGGGCTGTGGCCAGGACTTCAGGAGGGCTTGGGTACAGGTGGGAAGGGTCTCCAGGTCCAGCTTCTACCGGGAGGCGTTTGTAGCCCCCAAAACACTCACGCCTCGGGGTGAAGGATAAATGGACACTGTTCAAACACACAACTACACAGATGGACCCAAGGCTGGGTGCCCACCACACTTCCCCAGCAGCCACGCGCTGACACTTCCCACAGAGACGAGGATCCATCCTCCTGCCTCCAGCTCCGGGATGGCGGTGCACTGGTGCCATCACTGCATGGGAGGGAGAGGGCAAGACAGAGAGACGAAAAGACAAAGAGACACACAGAGGCAAAGTGGGGGGAGTGGGGGAGAGAGAGGGAGAGAAGGGGAGGGGGCAGGTGGGAGAGAGAGAGCGTTCACATGAGGGAGCTCCCACACTGTTCTGCGAACAACAAATGCAGGGCCTGACCCACACTTGGTCTCCCCAGGGCCAAAGCCTTGTCACCTATGGCTGGCACAGGCAACTGAACCATTCCAAGCCGTCTGGGTTTCCGCGGGGTCTGGGGTTCAGGCTGGGCCCTAGGCAGAGGCTGGAGAAAAGCCCTGAAGCTCGGCTTCTTGGCCACTTCTGCCTTCAGGACCCCAGGGGGAGGCAGGAGCCTTCTGTGCTCTGGCACTCAGGGTCAGGGACACCTCCGACGCTCCTCAGCTTAAAACCCCTTCCCATCGCTTTCCTTGACCACCGACCCATCCCCAGAATTCAGCCCTGCAAGGCTAGGGCAGTGGGAGTCAGGCTGGGCTGTGAAGCCTTGACCTCAGACAGTGGCCCCCAGCGGCTCGCTGCTGCCTGCGTCCACCCTGGCCTCCCAGGGGAAGACCCGACGGGGGCAGACGCGGTGGGTTCCGCACCTGCAGCAGCATGCTGAGGCCCAGGTTGCGGTGCTTCTTCTCCAGCTCTGACACTGCCTGCAGCAGCGACCTGAACCGCTCCGTGGGGTCGGCCAGCTCATCCTCGGGGAGCCCCTCCTCCTTCTCAGCCTCCTGCAGGAAGTACTCCTCCTCCTCCACAAAGAAGGCCCGTAGCTTCTTGTAGTCGGTCAGTGCCTTCTTCCTACGGTCCATCACGTGTCCCTGCAGGCAGGTGGCAGGAAAAGACCTGTCCTGGCCCAGCCTCTCCAGGGAAGGGAACCTGTTTACTGTTTAAGGAGTTAAGAACATGGGGCTCCAAAACATGCTGTCCAGGCATGTCAACCGTTAGGCTGGGTGGAGCGGCTCACGCCTGTAATCACAGCACTTTGGGAAGCCAAGGCAGGCAGATCACAAGGTCGGCAATTTGAGACCAGCCTGACCAATCCCAGCTCTGCTAAAAATACAAAAACTCCCTGGGCAGGGCGGCATGCGCCTGTAATCCCAGCTACTTGGGAGGCTGAATCAGGAGAACTGCTTAGACTGGGGAGGCAGAGGTTGCAGTGAGCCCAGCTTGTGCCACTGTACTCCAGGCAGAGCAACAGAGCCAGACTTCATCTCAAAAAGACAAAACAAAACAAACCACAAGGAGCCAGGCACAGTGCCTCACGCCTGTAATCCCAACACTTTGAGAGACTAAGGCGGTAGGATCACTCAAGCCCAGGAGTTTGAGACCAGCCTGGTCAACAGTGAAAACCTGTCTCTACTAAAAATCAAAAAACTTAGCCAGGCACGGTGGTATATACCTGTGGTCCCAGCTACTTGGGAGGCTGAAGAAAGAGGATCGAGAATCACTTGAACGCGGGAGGCAGAGGCTGCGGTGAGCTATGATCACACCACTGTACTCCAGCCTGGGCCCACAGAGCAAGACCCCGTTTCAAAAAAAAAAAAATTAAAACGGTGCAAGATCACCCTTGCATTCTGCTTCTTAAAAGCAAATGAAATTCCGATGTGAAAGATGCCCTCCCCATGTCAGATAAAACTGACATCATCGGCTGGGCGCGGCAGCTCACGCCTGTAACCGCAGCACTTTGGGAGGCTGGGGCGGGAGGATCATGAGGTCGAGAGATCGAGACCATCCTGGTCAACATGGTGAAACCCTATCTCCACTAAAAATACAAGATTAGCCAGGTGTGGTGGCACACACCTCAAGTCTCAGTTACTCAGGAGGCTGAGGCAGGAGAATCACTTGAACAAGGAAGCAGAGGTTGCGGTGAGCCCAGAGGGTGCCACTGCCCTGCAGCCTGGGCGGCAGAGCAAGACTCTGTCTCAAAAAAACAAAGAAAGATTCCTATGCTTTTCTTCCGTTAATCTATCTTCCTTTTTTTTTGAGATAGGGCTCCGCTCTGTCACCTTGGCTGGAATGCAGTGGTGCCACCACAGCTCACTGCAGCCTCAATCTCTTGGGCTTAAGTGATCCTCTCACCTCAGCCTCGCAAGTAGCTGGGCCCACATATGTGAAATACCACATCTAATTTTTTAATTAAAGGGTCTTTTGGGCTGGAGTCTTTTGCTGCTGAGAGAGACAACGCAAATTACATAGTAAGATGGGGTCTCACTATGTTGCCCAGGCTGGTCTCAAACTCGTGGCCTCAAGTGATCCTCCTACCTCAGCTTCCCAAGTTGCTGGAATTACAGGCACGCAGCACTGCCCCGTCAGCTTATCTTATGTGTTTATCGTATGTACTAATTCTCTGGCCCAGCCTGGCCCCTAAAAGGGGAGAGGTACAGTTCTTTCTCCCCTACACTGCACAGTACTCGGCTGCACGTGAAGACTGTCCCTCTCCCATCTCCCATGGCCAAGGGGACAGTAAATCCTTGAGTGGCCCTGCTAGGTCTCGAGCCTATCAGGCATGTGACTGTCTGGGCTGGACACACATCCATCTTGCCAGTGAGACTGTCCCTGCTGTGCCCACAGTGGAACCCCAAGGGCCGAAAACCACCCCATCAACCTTCAGCCAAGTGCTCACGCTTGCCGCTCTTCAGTTGGTTTGCAGCCAACCCTAACCAGGATGCTACTCTGACTTTACTCAGACCCATGCATGGCTTCCACCTGGCCCCAGGCCACAGAGGGCAGGTGACAGCCATCGTCATGAGAGGCCAAGGCTTTTGCTGCTGAGAGAAAAGGCAAACGACAGCTGGTGTGTGCTGCTTGGCTGATGCCACAGGCTGCAAACTCCTTCCTCTGAATTTAGGCAGCTGCTCTCACCCTAGCATCTAAGCCACCAGCCCCCAAAACAGGACAGATTAAGAGCTCCAACCTGCTGAAATCTGTGGGCAAAGCGAGTCCCTTGGGGGTAACACAGGGTTACTGAAAACTTGGAGGTCCCCAGAGCCTTCCAGCCTCACTTGCACCAGGCAGTGTGGACTGCTCACAAGGCAGGGAGAAGTTCAGAGCAGCCCCAAGATGCCGAATGGCATCAGGAACCCCTGCACCACCTGTCACTGACTGAGGGAGGCCTGCACTCAGGTCTGTGGAGAGCAGGCAAGGGCTGGGCTGCACCAGGAGGCAGAGCACCCACCTCAGCCTCAAGCTGGCGAAGTACTCGGGCCTCAGCGTTGAGGTGCAGCCAACGCTGCAGCTTGGAAAAGCACTCTCTCGGAGGCAGGAATTTATGACACCCAGAGAAAATGGAAAAGACTTTACTACACATGAGGAAAAAGTCACCAAAGAAAGTTTAAATGACTGAAAAGCTTTACTGGGGGGTAACCTAAAAGAACTCTAGTGGGATGTCCCCTTGGGATAGGTAGCGCTGCTGTGGTCTGAATGACTGTGTCCTCCCCAAATCCCCATGCTGAAATCCTCGCCCCTAAGGTGACGGTGTTAGCAGGCAGCACCTTTGGGAGGTGAGGTCTTGAGGGTGGAGCTGTCGAGAATGGAATCGGTGTCTGTATACAAAGGACCCCAGAGGGACCCTCACCCCTCCCACCGTGTGAGGACACTGTGAGAAGGCACCGCTCATCCCTCCCACCATGTGAGGACACCATGAGAAGGCACCATCTATGAACCAGGAAGTGCCCTCACCAGACACGGAATCTGCTGGTTCCTTGATCTTGGACTTACAGCCTCCAAAACCTAATGAGCTACTCTCAGATCAGAACCAAATGACTACAGAAAGTTACAAATGTGTTTTAAAAGAAAAAAAAAAAAAACACAAACATTTAGAACTTTGGGAGGCCAAGGCAGGAGAATCACTTAAGCCCAGGAGTTCGAGACCAGCCTGGGCAATACAGCAAGACCCTCATCTCTAGAAAAGCATTTTAAAATTAGCCAGGTGTGGTGGCACATGCCTACGGTCTCAGAGGCTGGGGTGGGAGGATGGTCCAAGGCCAGTTCAAGCTACCATCACGCCACTGCACTTCAGCCGGGATGATGAAATGAGACTCTGTCTCTCGAAAACAACAAAAAAAGTAAGAGTGATGCTGCAATGGCCTACAGGTCAAATGGGAGGAGAAAGAAGCTTCCACTGGCTCTGCTAGATTCTATCTGGGAAATGCAGACACGTCCTAGAAAAATACCCTGAAGCCCACTAAAGCCCAGAGACCCCTCCTCCAATCAACCAGCTGAGCAGTTCAGAGGCCTGGCCTGCTTGGCCTGCCTGGGGGACCCTCTGTCTAGAGCCGGAGCCCGAGGTCCCCTCGTTCGAGGCTGCTCCAGGCCCCCACTTGCCTTCCACACCGCAGCGGCTGACTCTGCCTGGCCGTGCAGGTCCCGTGCGTCATTCAGGTCCTTCCTCATGATTTCCACAGACCCTTTGTTCTCCTGGAAAGAGAGAAAGGTCACCAGGGGTGGGCAGAAGGTCTGGGTCCCCCACCCCGGCCCAGTCCTGAGGGACGTCACGCCAGCTGACTACACAGTCTGACCATCCCAGAGATAACCTTGAAGCTCTGCTGCCTAGGGCAGGACGAGCAGTCAAAAGGTTTCCTGGGCTTCATACCTACTCAGAAGGAACCGGGCGCCGGGTAAGGGGGCTGCCTGGGCGGGTTTAGGAGTTCTGTGTCTGCAAGCGGCCCTGTTCAGTATGAGCTCGGTCTGTACCAAAGGCCTGAGCCCTGCTCTGTCTGAGCCGGATGGGGGTGGCTCTGCCGGGTGACAGGAGCCCCCGCTGCAGGAGGAGCGCCCAGGGCACAGACTGGCTGGCCTTCCTTCCCCTGTATCCAAGAGAGGGACCCCAGTAGGCTACTCTTTCCTACTCTGTGTGCCACACCAACCCGCCATGGGCAAGGCTCCAGACCCTCAGAGCGGGTTTCTGAAGGATGGGTGAAGGGAGGGGGTGGGCGCCAGGTGAGGGCTGGGTGGCCCGAGAGCCAACGAGAAGGTGGGCCAGGCCTGTGGACACAGTGGAATACAGGGGGGCGAGAGAAGTGATGACTCCCCCAGGTGGACACTGAGTGGGAGAGGGGTCAATCTGTGGGAGCTAAAGGGTCTATGAGGCTGAAGCAGAGCACGAAGATAGGCGCGGGGGGGTGGGGAGGGCTTCCTATGGGGGAAGGGGGTGGGATAATAAGGCACCGCCCAGCAGGGGACCCCAAGATGGGAGAGGGACCAGACTCCGCAGAAACGCAGGAAACATGGGGAAGCAAGCCGTGGGAGGAAAGGGCCCAACATACGCTGGAGGGGGGATCCGTGGGGGTGAGGTGAGGGGAACAACCCCGGGACAAGGGTAGTGGGGGCGGGGAGGGCCCAGGGCTCAGGGGGACCGGGGCGGGGGCGGAGAAGCGCGAGGCACCGTCAGCTGCGGGGCCCGGGACCCCGCCTCGCGCACCTTGCCGCGCAGCGCCTTCCTCCAGCGCGGCTCCCACTCGGGCGGCTCGGGGCCCGCGGCCATGCGGCAGGCGGCGCACAGTGGCCCGGCGTCGGCGCGGCACAGTAGCTGCAGGGCGGCCTCGCTGGCCGGGCCGTCGCGCGCGGGCGCCGCGGCCGCCTCCTCAAGCGCCAGCAGGCGGCGGCTGAGCGGGGGCCGTCCGGGCTCCACGGCGCGCTGCCAGCAGTCGTCGGCGCACTCGGGGCACGGGAAGGGCCCGTCCTCCTCGGCCCAGAAGCGCACCACGCACGCCCGGCAGAAGCGGTGGCCGCAGTCGGCGCGCACCGGCTCCCGGGGCGCGCGCTGGCACAGGGCGCAGGCGGCCTCGGCGGGGCCCGCGGGGAGCGCCAGGGCTGCAGTCGGCGGGGCCGGCTAGGGCGCGGAAGCGGCTGCGGCGGCCCGGGGAGCGAGGAGACCCGCGACGGGACGGAGACCAGCACCCGGACGACGACGCCAACGCCGGGGACGCGCACGGGGCGGGGTCCGGGCCGTGGAGCGCTCCGCCGACGAGGTCCTGGCAGGGGTGTGCCGCAGCCGCAGGTCCTGGCCGCGATGCACTCCACTGACAAGATCCCGGCAGCCCTGTGCTGCACCCGTAGGTCCTGGCCGCGGGGGGCTCCTCTGCCCGGGTCCTGGCGGCGGTGCGCTCCTCCGCCTTGGTTTTGGCAACTGTGCGCTCCACCGGCAAGGTCCTGGCAGCTGCGCACGTCACCCCGCAAGTCCTGGCAGCTGCGCGATTCACAGTCCTGCCCGCGGACCCCGGTCGTCGTATCCTGAAATCTTACTGGGACTATCCGGTCCCACATCAGTAACTCCTCTGAAAGAGGGAAACTAAGTTTTATTATTACTTGAAGTTTCCATTTTTAAAAGGTTGTTTTTTTAAGCTGCTAGGATCTGAGCTGCGCGTACCTCCGCGGTGGCTCGCCCGCGTGGGCTGGGGACGGGGCGGGGACGGCCTTCGTGGGCCTCCTCCGCTGCTCTCGTGCTGCGCTGACCCGCCCTGCGTGGGTACTCCTGAGTGCACGGGCCCTTGCGAGCACGCGTCGTGCAGGGACCTTCCCGTGTGGACGTGCCCTGCGTGCACCCATCCTTCAGGGACCTGCCCTTGAACGGGCCCTCCAGACGTGGACACACGTTGTATACGCCCACCCTGCGTGGGATCTCCCTGCGTGGACCCATCCCGCGGGACCTCTTCCCGCGCGACCTCCCTTCTGGCCCCTGGGAAGCTAGCTCTCATGGATTCTGCGATGATGCGTGGCAGAGGAGCATGTGTTAGCTTTTCTTTTCTTTTTTGAGACGGAGTCTCGCTGTGTCGCCCAGGCTGGAGCGCAGTGGCGCGATCTCGGCCCACTGCAACCTCCGCCTCCCAAGTTGAAGCGATTCTCCTGCTTCAGCCTCCGGAGTAGCTGCGATTACAGGCGCGCGCCACCACGCCCAGCTAATTTTTGTATTGTTAGTAGAGACGGGGTTTTACCATCTTGGCTAGGCTAGTATCGATCTCCTGACCTCGTGATCCGCCCTCCTCGGCCTCCCAAAGTGCTGGGATTTCTGACGTGAGCCACTGCACCCGGCTGTTAGCTTTTCTTTAAAAAATAAAAAATAAATTTAAAGGAAAGAAAGAAGCCTTTGGGAACGGCAATCTTGCTTTTTGTTTGTTTTAAATTATTTTGAAAATAAGCAAGCAAGGTTTAAAAAAAGGTGGGGTTTAAAACTTCAAATTTTACATTAAAAAAATTAATCTTTATTCCATACAAGCGCAGGATCTAATGAGGTATTAGTTTTTGTCTTTGTGAAGATTTTTTAATCGACGTGGAAAAGCACTAGGTGTCAGTTGGAAATGTGAATGGTACACTGAGGTCATTTCTGTGTTGCAAAGGTTAGGAGCCTTCCAGCTGAGCCTTGCTGATTTGTTGGGTCAACTAGGAACTTGCTGGAGAGAAAAGTAAAAAATACAAAAATGAGCAAACTTCATAATGAACTAATCTTGTGAATGAGAAAATATCAACTGGCCGGGCACGGTGGCTCACGCCTGTAATCCCGGCACTTTGGGAGGCTAAGGCTGATGGATCACTTGAGGTCAGGAGTTCAAGACCAGCCTGGGCAACATGGTGAAACCTCGTCTCTACTAAAAATACAAAAATTAGCCAGGCGTGGTGGTACATGCCTGTAATCCCAGCTGTTTGGGTGGCTGAGGCAGAATTGCTTGAACCCAGGAGGTGGAGGTTGCCGTGAGCTGAGATTGCACCCCTGCACTCCAGACTGGGCGACAGAGTAAGACTCTGTCTCAAAAATCCTGCTTTTTGGAATCCATGTAGCAGTACCAATTAAGGATTTTCTGACTGGAGTTCCTTTTCTTAAAAAACAAACTATAAAAAAATGGAAAATGAAAATAATACAAATTGGGTTGTTTTGTTTTGTTGTTTAGAAAAGTGGCCGGATGAGGTGGCTCACGCCTGAAACTGCAGCACTTTGGGAGGCTGAGGTGAGTGGACCACTTGAGCCCAGGAGTTCAGTGCCAGCCTGGGCAACATGGCAAGAACCTGTCTATGCAGAACAGTTTTAAAATGTAGCTGGGTGTGGTGGCATGCGCCTGTGGGAGGCTGAGGTAGGAGGATCACCTGAGCCCAGGAGCTTGAGCCTGCAGTGAGCCGTAATTGTGCCACTGTACTCCAGCCTGGGTGATGGACCTGTCTTAAAAACAGGGAGTGAGACCCTGTCTTAAAAACATGAAAAGAGAGAGAGAGAGGAGGAGGGGTGGGGGGAGAGGGAGAGACGTAGGAAGGAAGGAAGGAAAAGGGAGGAAGGGAGGGAGGAAGGAAGGAAAGGAGAGAGGGAAGGAGGGAAAAGAAAGAGAAGAAAGAAAGGAAGTAAGAAAAGGAAGGGAGGGCAGAAGGAAGGAAAGAAAAAGAGGAGAAAGGGAGGGAGGGAGGAAGATGGGAAGGGAGAGAGAGAGTAGAAAGAAAGAGAAGAAAGGCAGAGAAATGCATGTCATATCATTATTCATTGGGGAGGGAAAAAAAAACACCTTGAAGGTCCAATACTGGGGGCATGGCTTAGCAAATGGTAGCAGCCATGAACTTGCATATTTGTACATTAGAGACTTTTGGAAGTAGACACTGGCGAGCTTTGTTGCTTGGAAGTGTCTCTCCCTTACTACCAGCAGAATCCACGTTGTGAGGTGCCAGCATTGCCACTTCCAAAGACAGGGTGACTGGTGTAGGTGCCAAGGGGAACCCTTGGTCCTCTCAAGTTTTGATGAAATGTTGCAAAAGGCAGATCAATTGGAGAAAAGGCAGACACATTTATTTACTGTGTGTACATGGGAGCCTTCAAAATGAAGACCTAAAGATGGGGGGAAATCCTCTCCCTTTTATGCTGAGGTTCTGCAAAGTAAGGACAGCATGCAGAAATAGAATTGGGCAAATCGGGTTGGATCTAATGAGAATGGCTTGAGTGGGGACAAGGCCTGTCCCTTGAGGCGGCCAGGCCTGTCTGTCTAAATTCTTCTTGGCCTCTCTGAGCAGCTCCTCTCCCTCCCTCCCTCCCTGCTTCCGTCCCTCCCTCTGTCCCTCTCTCTGTCCCTCTCTCCCTCTCTCCCTTCCTCCCTCCGTCCCTCTCTCCCTTCCTCCCTCCCTCCCTCTCTTCCTCCCTCCCTCCCTCCCTCCCTCCATCCTTCCCTCTCCCTCCCTCCCTCCCTCTCTCCCTCCCTCCCTCTGTCCCTCTCTCCCTCTCTCCATCCCTCTCTTTCTCCCTCCCTCCCTCCCTCCATCCCTCCCTCTCCCTCCCTCCCTCCCTCTGTCCCTCTCTTCTTCCCTCCCTCCATCCCTCCCTCTCCCTCCCTCCCTCCATCCCTCTCTCCCTCTCTCCCTCCCACCCTCCCTCCTTCCCTCCCTCCCTCCGTGCCTCCCTCTCCCTCCCTCCCTCTCTCCCTCCCTCCCTCTGTCCCTCTGTCCCTCTCTCCCTCCCTCCCTCCTTTTCTCCCTCCCTCCGTGCCTCCCTCTCCCTCCCTCCCTCTCTCCCTCCCTCCCTCTGTCCCTCTCTCCCTCCCTTCCTCCTTCCCTACCTCTTTCCCTCTCTCCCTCCCTCCCTCCATCCCTCCCTCCCTCCCTCCGTCCCTCTCCCTCCCTCCCTCCGTCCCTCTCCCTCCCTCCCTCCTTCCCTCTCTCCCTCCCTCCCTCCTTCCCTCCTTTCCTCCTTCCCCCCCTCCCTCCGTCCCTCTCTCCCTCCCTCCCTCCTTCCCTCTCTCCCTCCCTCTCTCCCTCCCACCCTCCCTGCTTCCCTCCCTCCCTCTGTCCCTCTCTCCCTCCTTCCCTCCCTCCCTCTGTCCCTCTCTCCCTCCCTCCCTCCCTCCCTCCCTCCCTCCTTCCCTCCCTCCCTCCCTCTGTCCCTCTCTCCCTCACTCCCTCACTCCCTCCCTCCCTGCTTCCCTCCCTCCCTCCTTCCCTCTCTCCCTCCCTCCCTCCCTCCCTCCCTCCTTCCCTCCCTCCCTCCTTCCCTCCCTCCCTCCATCCCTCTCTCCCTCTCTCCCTCTCCCTCCCTCCCTCCTTCCCTCCCTCCCTCTTTCCCTCCCTCCCTCTCTCCCTTACTCCCTCCCTCCCTCCCTCCCTGCTTCTCTCCCTCCCTCCTTCCCTCACTCCCTCCCTCCCTCCCTCCTTCCCTCACTCCCTCCCTCCCTCCCTGCTTCCCTCCCTCCCTCTGTCCCTCTCTCCCTCTCTCCCTTCCTCCCTTCCTTTCCAGGACCCTCTCTGGAGTGAGGATCTTAGGATCTACACCCTAACAAGGTGGATCAGATTATTCCTTCATGGCCAGGTTCTACACAGAAAGGCAGAGGGAAATTAGAGACCTATTTTTAGCTTTGATGGCTTTAGGTTCTGGTTTCTATGGTCCCCCTTGGGGAAGACAGATTCTAGTTTCCATGGCCAGATGGGAGAATGAGGGGCGAGAGACAGGAGGGCCAGAGAAGGTCAGAGAAAACTTTTTGCTTCTGAGGCTGCTTAGGAGGCCTTCACTTTGGGTCTTGTTTTCTGAGCTGCCCGGCACTTCTCTGTCCAGCCTCCCTCCTCTCCCCGCTCCAGATCAGAGACTGAGCTGGTGCCATTTGAGCACTCAGGTGCGTTAGGAGTACTCCTCCCTCCTCATCTGCCTCGTGGACCGTTTGGAAAATTGAAGCTCCCACTTTCTGATCAGAGACACGATGGGAGTGGGCACTGGGTTTCTTCTGTTAGTTTTTTCCCAGCGTGTCATCTCATAGACGCAACAGAGACAGAAGAGCACTGCTGAGTCTTGGATGCCTCGGGGCTCCTGAATTCCCATTGCATTTGCATCAAAGAGCTAAATAAGAACACTGTTCGCGAAAACCATGCTGTTGCTCAGCCATCATCTTCTCAGGGTGATAGTTTCAATTGATGAACGTTAAAATGTTTGGGGATTTCACTGGCAACCACAAAAGCACGTGAATATTTTCTCTAAGAGTATGATAAAGTCTTTTTTGAGACACAGTCTCACTCTGTTGCCCAGGCTGGAGTGCAGTGGCGCGATATCGGCTCACTGTAACCTCCGCCTCCCGGGTTCAAGCAATTCTCCTGCCTCAGCATCCCAAGTAGCTGGGATTACAGGCACCCACCACCACGCCGGCTAATGTTTATATTTCTAGAAGAGACAGGGTTTCACCTTGTTGGTCAGGCTGGTCTCAAACTCCTGACCTCAGGTGATCTGTCCTCCTTGGCCTCCCAAAGTGCTGGGATTACAGGCGTGAGCCACCACACCCGGCCAATCTTTTTTTTTTTTTTTTTTTTTTTAAGGCAACAGAAACAACCAGAAAATGGATGAGTAGAAGAGAAACGATTCTAATTATAGGAACTTTTTAGGAGAGTCTCACTCTGTCACCCAGGCTGGAGTGCAATGGCGTGACCTCAGCTCACTGCAACCTCCACCTCCCGGGTTCAAGCAATTCTCCTGCCTCAGCCTCCCAAGTAGCTGGGACTACAGGTATGTGCCACCACACCTGGCTAATTTTATATTTTCATTTCCTCTTTAATGGATCTCTTTCCAGACACAGCCACATTCTAAGGTCCTGGGGTTAGGAATGCAACCTGTGAATTTCAAGGGACATAATTCACTTTCTAACAGCCCCCTACCCCAACAAGCAGGTGAGCCCCAGCCAGCTTTCCTGGCAGCGCCTGTTTGAACGGGACTGGCTGGCCCTGTGGGGATACTTGGATTCTTAGACTGAGGGTTCGTGTGCCTCTGAGGTAATTGTCGACGACAGCCCTCTCTCTAGACATAGGACATCATAAGATGTGGGCTAACTGCACAGATCTAGAAAGGTAGGGCACAGGGGCATCAGGATCAGGACATTACTGGTGTGTCCTGTTCCTGATCAACAGGGTAGGCAGCTTAGGAGCCAAGGACACACGTCCCCTTTATCCTCTAGAATGCCTGCCTGTGTGTGAGCTGCACCATGGTGCTGAGCTAGGGCGAGAAGTGTGGCCACTGGCTGGAAACGGGAAGAGTGAGATGCTGCCACCAGGCTTCCATGTGGTGTGTGTCCCTGGGGTGCAGAACTGAGGTGAGAAGGTGAGTTCAGTTTTGTAGAAGATTCAGCTTGAGGCTGGGGCCTTTGAGGAGTGTTTTTAAATCTTGGGGCTGGGTGCAATGGCTCACACCTGTAATCCCAGCACTTTGGGAGGCCAAGGTGGGCGGATCACCTAAGGTCGGGAGTTCAAGACCAGCCTGACCAACATGGAGAAACCCCATCTCTACTAAAAATACAAAATTAGCCAGATGTGGTGGTGCATGCTTATAATCTCAGCTACTTGGGGGATAAGGCAGGCAAATCACTTGAACCCGGGAGGCAGAGGTTGCAGTGAGCCAAGATTGTGCCACTGCACTCCAGCCTGGGCAACAAGAGTGAAACTCCATCTCAAAAAAAAAAAAAAAAAAAAAATTCAAGTACAACTGTTTTTTTGAGTTGGACTCTCACTCTGTCCTCTCTCCATCTGCAATCTGTCCTCTTTCCATCTGCAGGCTGCTGTCCCCCACGCTGATCCCGCCCTACCAGGTCTGGATGGAGCCTGTGCATTTGCCATTGCAATGTGCAATTTTATTAAATGTTTAAAAAAATAAAGAGACTGGGCCCAGGCTGGGGTGCAATCACAGCTCACTGCAGCCTCGATCTCCTGGGCCCGAGCAGTCTTCCCGCCTCGGTTTCTCAAATAGCTGGAACCACAGTTATGAGCCACCATGCCCAGGTAAATTTTTTATTTTTTGTAGAGATATGATCTTGCTCTGTTGCCCAGGCTGGTCTCAAACCCCTGGCCTCCGGCAATCCTCCCAAAGCACTGAATTACAGGCGTGAACCACTGGATTACAGGCGTGAACAACCATGGTGCCTGGCCTCCACATATAACCGGACTCCCCCAAAACTTAATGCAACCCTCAGTTTTGTTTCTGAGTTTGGAATTTGTTGTATTTTATGCACGTTTGCGCCTCAAAGTTTTCTCCCCAGTCTTTATAGTCACCAAGGTTTCCCGACACCCGTGTGGCACAGGGATGTGGCTGTTCGGGGGTTGCGGGGTGGAGGAGGCCGGCACAGCCCCACTCACCCGTGGATGGTGCCCCACCCCCCACCTTCCCCACCCCTTTTCCTACCAGCGATTCCCCCCCCCCTCCTATCTGAGAGCCCCTCCCCGTCAGCCCTCCTCGCCCCTTCCCACACACCCCCATCCCTCGACCCCCGCTCTCCCTTCCCTGGTGGAAAGCACCTCTCCTGGTTAAATAATGCCAAATTATTCCTGTAAAATTCCCTTATGTCTTGTAATCCGTGCGTTGCCAGTTCCCTTGTCTTCTCCAAATGCTGCTTGAAGCCACCAGCTTCACTGTCAGCACCGCTCACGATATTTAATAGCAGCAGGTAAGAAAAGAAATCTATGGTAGAACATTAGCTGGGGCGGGGAGATCCCTGGCGCTGAAGAACTTTTCGCCAAAAGCTACTGCAGGCAGGAGCGGCCTCGAGGGGCGGACAGGGCCGCCAAAGGCTGCGGTGCGGTTCGGTACCTGCAGACCCGCTGCTCGGGGAGCGCGCCGCGGGTTCCCAGGCTGGTGGCCTCTCCCGGGCCTCGCCGCTGCCTCAAGATCCGCTTTCACGCTCCTGCTTCCGCACCCACCCGACCTGTCGCTGGCATTTGCAGCTCTAAGTCCTGAGGTGCAACGGAAGTGAGCACAAAAGCTGCCTGTGCGGACGCGGAGAACCAGCTGGTGCGCCTCCTCACCTTGGTCAGAGCGCCGGCCCTCTCGGGCGCAACGTCCCCGGGGGCACCGGCCTTTGTCCCCAGTGCTCCGCGCACTGGGCTGGGGAGCCCTCGGTGCCACCTAGAGCCTTTAAGCGGCGGGGCGGGATGGGGGGGGTGTTTGCTGTCGCGCGCCCCAAGAGTCGCCCATGAGGGAAACGCGCCCTGGCCGTGGCAGGAAGGCTTTTGTCCGCAGGACGTCGGCTGGAAGCCTGCAAAGCGCAAGGCTGCCCAACGCCTTTCCTGCGAGCATGAAGGGAGGCCCCGTGTTCCCTGCAGAACTCCACAGCACACCCTGTCGTTTCAGCCACCCCCGCCTCCCTACTTGTCCCTCAAGGTTCCCTCTAGTCCTTGGGAGGCCTGAAGTCTGTCATCTTTCCATCTGCAGGCTGCTGTCCCCCACGCTGATCCCGCCCTACCAGGTCTGGATGGAGCCTGTGCATTTGCCATTGCAATGTGCAATTTTATTAAATGTTTAAAAAAAATAGAGACAGGGTCTCGCTATGTTTCTCAGGCTGGTCTTAAACTCCTGGACTCAAGGGTTCCTCCTGCTTCGGTCTCCGAAACTGCTGAGATTACAGGGCTGAGCCTCTGGTCCCACCTGTATTAAGTCCTCGTTTGTGAACTTAAAGGGTCCGGGCTTCACAGTAGAAGATACCTCATCCAGAGCTGCACAAAAATCTAAGGTGTAAAGATGGGCTGATTTCATGCATTCGGTTATTCATTCCTCTCGTCGCGGACTGGCCTCCAGCACCAGGCGCTGTGCTCTAGAACCATTAAAGAAGTGCGGGGGTGGGGAAAGTGTTTACGACTTTGCTTAATCATCTAAACCTGGTAGCTAAGGTAGGGGCCACTGTTCCTTTCTTTTTCTTTCTCTGTCCCTCCCTGTCTCCCCCACTCTCCTTCTTCTCCCTTTCTTTTTTCTTTTCCTTCTTTCCCTCCCCTCTTTTGCCCTTTTCTCACATGAGGAAAGCTTTACATGCACTCCTAGTGCTGCATCTGCCTCGTGTTGGCCTTGATCCGAAACCCTGTCCCAGCTGGCCCAGCTGCTCTAACAAAATGCTACAGAACGGGAGACCTAAACAACGGAAATTGACCCAGGTCTTTGGGGGAAAGGAGACCAGTGTGGGCAACACAGCAAGACCCTGTCTCTGTGCGCGTGTGCACGTGCGTGTGCACACACACACACACTTAGCCAGGCATGGTGGCACGCACCTATTGTCCCAGCTACTCAGGATGCTGAGAGAGGAGTACAGCATTCGCGCCAAAGGCTTGAGACAGCTAGCTACTCCCCCGGTCTTGGCTGCTGGACCTATCTGCTCTCCCCACCGCTCTCGAGGGCTTTCGAGTTGAGGCAAGGGTCGCAGGCTGAGCCACTGAGGCAAAAACAAGATACAGAGCAAGGGCCTGCGGTTTGCATTGTGCTGACGGCTTTCATATCCCCTTTAATCTCTGTGTAAGCAACGGACTTGCTGCAATTGAGATGCCTGAGAGGGGCAAGGACCCCTGCCCATATTTTCTCAGGAGCTGAGCCTTTGCTCTACCTCCTGATGGAAAACATAGTTAACAAGCCACCATGAGGACACCATTGTTTGATTGCACTGTGTACTCTTAAAAAACATTTATTAACCTTTAAACTGCTTTGTAAGCTGTTACACAAGCCCCTTCAAACTGCTTTGTGAGCTGTTATCTCAAGCCCCTTATAACTATTTTTCCGTGGTTTCTGTTCCCTTTTTTGTTTACCCCCTTTTCTGCTGAGCTAAAGTAAATGTAACGAGAAAAAAGGTATAAAAGCTGTAACCCACAAAAATAAAGCTGCTGCCTGACTTAGGGTCACACAGACCTCCAGACCCCACTTTTCTTTCTTCTTTCACTTCCGCGCACATGCTCCCTCAGGTTGAACGAGACATCTACGTTGGCGGTCTCAAGGACTCCCGCAGGTCGGCAGCCCCTCGGCAGACGTGCCGGACCCCAACAGAGGAGGACTTCTTGAACCCAGAAGTTCAAGGCTGCAGTGAGCTATGAATCACACCACTGCACTTCAGCCGGGGCAACAGAGCATGACCCTGTCTCTTAAGAAGAAGGCATTTAATACAAATTGCCCATTACAGTTACACAACACATACATTTTGTATGGTTATTTCCCCCCAAAGAATGCTGATTATCCGAGGCTGGAAGTCCGAGATCAGGGTATCAGCAGGGTTGGGTTTTGTGAGGTTACCCTTACTGGTTTGCACCCAGACACCTTCTCACTGTGTCCTCAAGAGGCCATGTAGGTGCTAGAAAGTGATATCCTAAAATGAAGACCTCCTGCCTTCCTGAGTCCCGTTCTCCCCCAGGCTGGCCATAGAAACTAGAATCTCTGTTCACCAAGGCAGGTCATAAAAACCACAACCCCCTTTCCCCAAAGCCAGCCACAAATCCTAAAAATACTACTCTAACTCCTGCCTTTCTGTGCAAATGCTGACCATAAATTCTCTGGCCTATCTGTCTGGTTGTAGGTCATAAGACTCTCATTCCAAAGAGGGTCCTGTCTTATACCCAAGAGGAAGGACTGCAGCGCAGAGAGGCCAAGCAGAATCTAGACACGCGGGCCTGCTGGGCGTCGCCACCCAGTGGATCAGCAGATCTCGCCGGATCCTGTTTCTCCACAGCAGTCCATATTTGCTGAACCTAAGCATTAAACTGACAGCTTCCTCTGTGTTCATTCTGAAGACTCTTGTGTCACATAAAGCTATGATGAAATAAATTTGTATGCTTTCTCTCTTTTAATCTGCCTTTTGTCAGTGGATTTTTAGTGAACCTTCAGAGGGTGATGAAAAAGTTTTCCCTTGGGGCCTGCAGCAGAGGGAAAGAGAAAAGCAAGCTGTCTTGTGTCTCTTCTTATAAGGACATGAGCCCTACCATGCCCCTCCACCCTCATGACCTAATCATCCCCAAAAGGCCCCACCTTCTGACACCATCACCCTGGGGATGCGGATTTTCCACCTAGGAATGTGCAGGGAATACAAACATTGAGTCCCTAGCAATTACCCATGAGAACCTGGGCTGATTTCCTGACACCACCAAACAGCTGCCATATGGTGGGGAGAGCGAATCCTCAACCTTAGCCCTTGAAAGACATATTCTTACCCAAAGTCCTTAGAATGCCGACCTCCTGTCCCACTCCAAGTTTTGATTCAAACCTTCCCACATCAGTCGGAAGCCAGGAAGCCTTAGGAAGAACCCGTGGGAAGACCAGCTTCTCACTGGGCTGGCAGGACCAGGGCAAGCGGTGCCATATATGGATATTTATAACACGTGTTAAAGTACGGTGAGGAGGACCACTACAGTGGGATTCCACCTCAGGGCAGAGAGACTGGGCTCAGCTCTGAGTACCACCCTGGCAAGTGGAAATTTATAGACAGGAGTAGGGTGGATCAGTGGATAGAACAGTACTGAGAGGAGACATCAGGGCTGGGCACGGTGGCTCCTGCCTGTAATCCCAGCACTTTGGAAGGCTGAGGTGGGTGGATCACTTGAGGTCAGCAGTTTGAGTCCAGCCTGGCCAACATGGCAAAACCCTGTCTCTACTAAGAATACAAAAATTAGCCTGGCATTATTACCCATGCTTCTAATCCCAGCTACTCAGGAGGAGAATCATTTGAACCCAGGAGGCGGAGTTTGTAGTGAACTGAGATTGCGCCACTGGGCGACAGAGTGAGAATATATCTCAAAAAAAAAAAAAAAAAAAGAGGAGACATCAGAGGTGAGGGGGATTCTGGCTAAACCTCACAGGGCTCTTGCTGCACGAAGGGTGGTCAGACATCACCTGGGGATGGAGGTGGATGAGGAACCCCATCAGATACCACAGAGGACGATCGGATATTGAGAATCAGGGGTTCTGATGAAACTGACAGAGTGGGACTTTCCTAAAACTGGATTTCCTTCCCTCCCTCCCTTCCTTCCTTCTTCTTTCCTCTCCTTCTTTCTTTCTGACAGATTCCTGCTCTGCCATCAGGCTGGAGTGTAGTAGCGCGATCTCGGTTCTCTGCAACCTCCCACTCCCCGGTTCAAGTGATTCTCCTTCCTCAGCCTCCCCAGTAGCTGGGACTACAGGTGCACACCACCATGCCCAGCTAATTTTTGTAGTTTTAGTAGAGACGGGGTTTCACTATGTTGGCCAGGATGGTCTCCATCTCTTGACCTCGTGATCCGCCTGCCTCAGCCTCCCAAAGTGTTGGGATTACAGGTGTGAACCACTGTGCCCAGCCCTAAAACTGGATTTCACAAGAAAGTGCACAGATGGACCTAGGAGAAGGTTCTGGAGCCTGACCAGAGTTTGGCCAAGCAGAGCATTTTTGTCAAAGGGTTGTTTGAGAATGAAATTGAATTAAGTACTTACTAAGTGGTTACCTAGTCAGCTCCTAGTGAGCACTCTAGAAATGCTTGTTAAATCTACCATGTATTTCAAAAGGAAACAGATAAAGTGCCTAATGCTGTGTATGCCCAAAATCACTCCTGGAACCCACAGTCTCAAGAGGCCCAGACCTCAGAGGACAGACTTGAATGCGGAGGGAGGGCACTGCCTCAGCTCACAGGCTTTTTCAGGAGACAGGTAATGACTGGGCCCCTGCTCAGTGCCCTGGAGACTCAGACGTGAAAGCCACATCCTTCCCTGTGAATTAAGCTTAGACAGCATGCTGGTGGGAGACAGAAAGGTTCGTGCTACCTACTTATGTGATGGATCTGCCCGGGGCATAGAGCAAGCTCTGCTGAGGTAGCCCAAGCTGCTTATGGCTGGATCATTCCTAAGAAGGAAAGGCACTAACTGGAATTAAGCACAAAACAGATGCTGGACACCCTGCCTGCCGCCTCACACTCATTAAAGCTCAGCAACACTGTCAGGTAAGCACTGACAGCCCCATTTCACAAATGAGTGTATGGAGGTGTGGAAAGGTAAATTGTCGCCCCAGCTAGGGCAGATGACCAGGGCTTCCAGGGCTTCTCAAATTGTAAAGTGCACACAACTCCTTTTAAAATGCAAATTCTGACTCAGTCCGATTCCAGTGGGCCCCGAGATTCCGCTTTTTTAACCAACTCTTCAGCCCAAGCTGAAATACACAACATCTTACATGTCTTCATTGATATTAATGTAACTCCCAATGCGTGAATATAACACAGTGCGGGGAGAGGGGTGCAGTCGGAGACAGGGCCTTCGTGAAGCCACCGCAGTACACAGCTCTCAGGGACACTGCGAGACAAATGAGACTGCGCAGAGCGAGCCCTTCGGATTACAGCTGTCACTTCAAACGGGCTTGGAGGGATCTTAACAATAGCAAGGACCAGGTTTCATCTGAAAACCTTCAGTATCTTTCCCCAGTTAAAAATCTGCCCCGTGACTACCATTCCAACTGAAGTACCCTTAGCATGTTTTCTGTACTGTTTTCCGTATGTCCGAACGAACCGTTTGGATTTACAACTTAATTCTGAGAGAAACGCATCTCTGATCCTTAGAGGACTGTGGGGAAGGGAAAGAAATAAAGGGTTAAGGTCGTTGCAAACTGCCATTCCCACCCCCACCTCCCCTTTTAAATAAGGGCTAGCCTCTATAGCTGTGGGCCTCAGAATAAAATGCCCCCCACATGTGCCTCACAGCCAGAGAAGACCGAGATTTGGGGTTGCAACCCTTTTCAGCTCCTTTTTAGCTACGTCCAGATCTGCTGCGGACACAAACATCTCCTCCAGGTGTAAAACAAAGACTTTGAACAAAGATGCGCAACCTCAGCTCCGGCGGGCGGCGGCTGTGCCTTGGGATTGGTTGCACCCCCGTCCAATAGGAAAAAAGAACCGGCCTCTCCTATTTACATGAATTCCTCCCAGTGGCGGCTGTGGCGTCAGGTCGTCCAATCAGACACTACAGATTTGGAGCCTTCATTTGAATATACAGACGGCAAATAGCCCTGCCCGCCCCGCCTCCGCGTTCGTCTAGGCGCTCTCCCCACCTAGCCATGCCAGAGCCATCGCGGGCGGCTCCTGCTCCCAAGAAGGGCTCCAAGAAGGCCATCACCAAGGCGCAGAAGAAGGACGGCAAGAAGCGCAAGCGCGGACGCAAGGAGAGCTACTCCATCTACGTCTACAAGGTGCTGAAGCAGGTGCACCCCGACACCGGCATCTCGTCCAAGGCCATGGGCATCATGAACTCCTTCGTCAATGACATCTTCGAGCGCATCGCCAGCGAGGCCTCCCGCCTGGCGCACTACAACAAGCGCTCCACCATCACGTCCCGCGAGGTGCAGACGGCCGTGCGCCTGCTGCTGCCCGGTGAGCTGGCCAAGCACGCCGTGTCCGAGGGCACCAAGGCCGTCACCAAGTACACCAGCTCCAAGTGAGGCGCGCCCCGGCGCCCCGAACCCAAAGGCTCTTTTCAGAGCCACCTCCAAGCTCAAAAAGGAGCGTGCCACCTGGTCTGGTTGTGACCGGTGATCCAGCTGGGGTGTGGGGTGGAAAGTAGACTACCCGGTGGGGACGCAAGTCCTAGAAATAAAGGTAGGCTTCTTGTTCTAATGGCACATTTCCCTTAGAAAGGTTTGCTGTGTTCTTCTTGTCTTCGCCACAAAGTCGGAGAGGGCGCAGCACAGGCGATCGCGCCATGGATCCCATCCAAAGACATGCGTGCGGTGTACGCCCTGCGCGTGAGGAGCAAGGGTCACCTCCAGGAAGATCTTGTGCCACTTCCCCACCACCAGTGCCTCCTGGCGGCTGAGGCTGGAGGACGTGCTCATTGAGGTCCGGGGATGGGGGTGGGGAGGTTATCTCGCAGTCCGGGCGCACGCACTTGGGGCTGTCCTCCCGCCCCCTCCTCAGCCACAACTAGACTCGGTGAGCTTGTAGCAAAAACCGTTTCAGCAGCGTTGCGCCTAAGTAGCTCTTTATGCCACGCCTTCCTGCTTGAAGCATCAAAACAGGCGCACAGATTTCCTTATCACTCAACTAGAATCTCCCCAATAAAGGATTCAGATCTTTTATACCAAAAATGTGTGTGTACGCTTAGTAAATAGTGGAAGATTATTTTGAATAATGCAAATATAGTACTTTAAAAAAAATTTCAGCAAATCATAGGCAAAATAAGTATGATCTCTGCATGACACATTAAGTAAAAATTAAGGCATGCTGGCCTGACTGGGGCTCAGGCTGTCCTCCCGCTAAAAACACCCCATACCGGTGACACCCCAACATGAATACCTGGGAGCCACCCACCCTGTAAGAGCAGAAATGTTGCCTGGGATTGGAATTCGGATTCCAGGCTCAGTTCCCACTGCACACTCCCCACGCAGTGACAGCCACGAATTTACCAACGTTTAACCTCTATGGTCTCATAAAGTATATCCATTTTCTTTTTCTTTTTTCTTTTTTTTGAGTTGGAATCTCACTCTATTGCCCAGGCTGGAGTGCAGTGGCATGATCTTGGCTGACTGTAACCTCTGCCTTCTGGGTTCAAGTGATTCTTCTGCTTCAGCCTCCTGAGTAGCTGGGACTATAGGTGTGCCCCACGATGCCCAGCTAAGTTTTGTATTTTTAGTAGAAAGGGGGTTTCACCATATTGGCCAGACTGGTCTTGAACTCCTGACATCGTGATCCACCAGCCTTGGCCTCCCAAAGTGCTGGGATTACAGGAATGTCTTTCCCGCCCCCCCCCCCCCCAAATATGGAGTTTCACTCTTGTTATCCAGGCTGGAGTGCAATGGCGCTATCTCGGCTCACCGCAACCTCCGCCTCCTGGGTTCAGGCAATTCTCCTGCCTCAGCCTCCTGAGTAGCTGGGATTACAGGCATGCGCCACCACACCCAGCTAATTTTTTGTATTTTTAATAGAGACAGGGTTTCACTGTGTTGACCAGGATGGTCTCGATCTCTTGACCTCGTGATCCACCCGCCTCGGCCTCCCGAAGTGCTGGGATTACAGGCTTGAGCCACCGTGCCCGGCCAGGAATGTCTTCTTAAAGGGAGTTTTCTTTCCTCCAAATTATTTTTTGTAAATAGGCTTTATTATTTGGGGCACTTTTTTAAGAGTGATAACCTTTTTTATTATTAATACATAATAGTTGTACATATTTTGGGGGAACATATGATATTTTGATATATGCATACATACAACAACCAAACCAGGGCAATTGGGACATCCATCATCATATTCACCCCCTCTTTAGGTCGAGATCATTCCAATTCCTCTCCTCTAGCAATACAACTAATCATCGTTAACTACAGTCACCCTACTACTGTTCAAGCCAACACTAGACCTTACTGTTCCCTCTAAGTGTATTTTTGTACCCATTACCAACTTCATCTTGTCCTCCCAGCTAGCAGTCAACTTACCTCCATGAGATGCATGTTCTTAGCTCCGCTTATGCGTGAAATCATGCAGTATTTGTCTTTCTGTGTGTGGTTTGTTTCACTTAACATAATGTCCTACAGATCCATCCATGTTCTTGCTAATGACAGGATTTCATTAAGTTTTATGGTCATTAGTATTCTACTGCATAAATATACCACATTTTCTTTATCCATTTACCTACTGATGGGCACTGAGGTTGACTCCGTATCTGGGCTATTGTAAATAGTGCTGCAATGAACATGAGACGGGGGACATCTCTGATATGCTGATTTCCTTTCTTGTGGGTATATACCCAGCAGCGAGGTTGCTGGACCATATGGTAAGTCTGGTTTTAGGTTTTTTTAAGAATGCCCATACTTTTCTCTATAACGGCTGTACTGATTTACATTCTCACCAGCAGTGTACAAGCATCCCTGTTCCCTGCGTTCTCACCAACATTTGTTGTTTTTCTAATCAGTCACTTTAATTGGAGGTGATTCCCTCCAAATTATTTTATTGACTGAATAATTAATAAATCTGACTTTAAATTTCCATCTGAGATGGGTGAGGAGCAATGTCTGAAATACATTTCAGATTGTATGCCAGACTGGAGGGATTTTGTAGACACCCAGTCTGAAATGTATTTAAGTGATTGTCGCTCACTCATCTCAGATAGGTGATTTGAGTTTAGAAATTTGGCTTAGTTTGAGAATCTTGGCGTGTCTCTCCAACCCAGAAAATGCTTCCGTTTTGTTGAGTGCGTCCCAATTTCCTTAGACTCTGTGGATTCTCACGTATTTGGTGTGCACTGCCTTCGTTTATCATTAACATTTGTTTTTCTCTGTTGCAACACTGTAATTAGCGAAATGGAGTCTGGAAATAATTGCTCTGAATTTTCTCCATTATAAAACCTCAGTAGCGGGGATCCTCTTTTACCTTCTTTGTCTCTCCCTTAACAGATTCCTGTCCTAGGAGAGAGGGACAAATGCCATCCATTCTCGGCCTGGGGGTGCTAATGCTGCAGCAAGAGACAGCCTGTTTTTACTTCAAACTTGTGCCGAGGGAATCAGAAGGCCTGAGACATGAATTGACTGACATTTGCCATTATTCATCACAAAATGCCTTCTTAGAGAATTACACTTGGAAATGGTCATGAAATGTTCGTCTTGTGCCTCGATCTCTGGCACTAACCAGTGCTGTTGCCTGGTGCTAACACACTCACTCTTTCCGCTGGAGACTGGCTTCACTTTATTAAACCGGTTTTGAGTTCATTAAGGTGGAGAACTACATGGGTCTGTGAGAGTAGTTTCACAAGTGCAAATGTTTAAGGTATTGACTTCCAATCTATGCTGGTGGGAGGCTGAGGGCTTGGAGGTTCCAGTCATTAGGCACCTGTTTCAAAGTGGAGAGGACTGGATTTGATAGCTTTTCACACAAATCCTGCATTTCTTGAAAGTACTAAGGGTGTTGACAAGTCCCACTTTTGATGATGGATCACTGTTTAATATTTGAATTATAACTGGGGTTGCAAAGAATTGAATAAAATGCCTATGACAAATTACCATTCCTATGTATTTTTTGTAAATATTTCTTGGAGCATATATCAAAAGAAAACAGAGTGGAAATGATCCTGTGCACTGCTAGCATTGTAATCGTATGAAAATGACCCATCCCTGCTAACGCTGTAACCATATGAACACCGCACGCATCAGTCATCGAGACAGAAAGGAAAGCGGAGAAGATGGGTACACCATCCAGCTCATTAAAATAGTCAGTTTCACTAAAAGTTTATCTGTTTGATAATAATCTATCAAATTATTTGTTTTGAACAATTGTGTACTGGCGAGATGATTTTTCTTAAACACTGAGAGACTAGCCAAAGCTATGCTTAAATTTCAAATGTAGACTTGTTTTTAAAGAGGATGACAAAACGCTATTAAACATACCATAGATAAATTGTGGTAGGGTGAAACTGCAAGGCAAATGGGGAATGCAAATAGGCATTCAGGAAGAAAAAAATCATCTGAAACATCGTACTGTCAAAGAAAAATTTGGTCATGTATTTTATGAACTGATTCTACTATCATATTGATATTCCAAAAGGCATCTTTAAAAGAATGATGTGAGGATTTTGATTTTTAAAAAGTCCTATGTTGGGATTTGAATCTTTGCCATTATTTTAACTAAAAATAAAAATATTTTAGATAGTTGTAAAACACGCGAGGTTCTCAAAGATTCTTTTAGAAAACCCATGCAGGAAAAAAGGTGGTGAGTAGGGACAAAGCCGCTCTGGTCGAGGATGTTCGCGGTGACGTTTCCTTCCCGATCCCAGGCTCGCGACGGTTCCATTTGGAGATGGCTTGGGAGGAAAAATCATTTTTCATTGAATTTTATTAAAAAATTATTTCTCATTTAACTTAATTGAATTTTTATTCCCTACTGGAAACGGTGACACAAATGCTCAATACTTGTAATTTTCACAACGGTTTGAGGAAGCAATTACTAGAAATCTCGTTTTCCTACACAAGAAAAGCCGAGTCAAGAAAAGGTAGACGATACCCTTTCCAGAATGAACACTTTTCATGCCAAAGAGCTTTCCTGCGCCGAAATGGCACTCCCCAAGTAAATGCCATGAATTTGGAGGCGGGGGGAAGGGAATTCTGTGTTGCTAACACTTCCCAGAAAAGAATGTGGCTGAAGAGGGAGGTAGCTACATTTGCTCGGAAAAAGGGAATTCTTTTCCTCCTAAATTAATCCCTTTCCCCACCCCCACTCCCATAAAGGTTAAAGCTACCGTCAGCTGGGGTCGCTTATCACATCCGGCTCCCGCGCGCAGAGCGCTGCTTTGTCGCGGTGGTTCGATTCGGTATCAAACATCCTGCCATCGCAGTATCCTGCCAGGAAAACATCCTCCCGGAATGCTCATCGCTTAAATCTAAACATGTCTGTCTGGTCCAGCCGGGGATAGAAAAGTCTTAAGCGAACGCAGGGCCAGGCACCACCGCCAGGCGAACGTGACAACACTGATGGCCTCAGAGCCCGCGGTCTTGCGCCACGTCCGGCCTCACCTCATGGGGTGCGGGTAGGAATGGGGAGGTTGGCACGGGTCCTTTTGGGGGAGGTGACCCGCATCCCTCACCTGCACGGCGCACGTCAAGCTCAGTTCTACCCGGCCTTGAACCCGGCACAAGCATTCAACACCCAGGAATGCATCTCTTGCTTATAAAAGACATTTGGAACTAGAGTCCTACTTCGATTCGTAGTGTGTTAATAGCTTTGCGCGAAGGCGGGGGTGGAGAGGGGGTCCTTGATCGCCTCCCAACATTACAGGATTTCTATAATGAGCAGTTTTTCTCGTTCTCTACCAGCGCGCGCGCGCGCGCGCACACACACACACACACACACACACTCGACTCAGACGGGGCCGCACCCGGCAACGGCTAGGGTGCACGGGGATATATTAGGTTACATAACCTTTAACCGTGTTCAAAACCCTTTCTGGATCTTGTGGGTGGCTCTGAAAAGAGCCTTTGGGTTCGGGGCGCCGGGGCGCGCCTCACTTGGAGCTGGTGTACTTGGTGACGGCCTTGGTGCCCTCGGACACGGCGTGCTTGGCCAGCTCACCGGGCAGCAGCAGGCGCACGGCCGTCTGCACCTCGCGGGACGTGATGGTGGAGCGCTTGTTGTAGTGCGCCAGGCGGGAGGCCTCGCTGGCGATGCGCTCGAAGATGTCATTGACGAAGGAGTTCATGATGCCCATGGCCTTGGACGAGATGCCGGTGTCGGGGTGCACCTGCTTCAGCACCTTGTAGACGTAGATGGAGTAGCTCTCCTTGCGTCCGCGCTTGCGCTTCTTGCCGTCCTTCTTCTGCGCCTTGGTGACTGCCTTCTTGGAGCCCTTCTTGGGAGCAGGAGCCGACTTGGACGGGTCTGGCATGATGGGGGTATCTCTCCAAACAGAAAAGCGCTGCGCTCGGAGTAACTCTATTTGTACGTTTGGTATTCAAATGAAGGCTCAGGATTTTCTCACTTCTGACTGGACCAAACGTTGTTTACGTCATTGCCGGGAAAGAATATGCAAATTAGGAGTGTCCAGTTCTTTATGTGATTGGCTGCCATAGCCATCCAATCGAACGCCGCGGTCTAGCCTACCTCTGTACCATACATAAGGGCTCGCTGGGCTTTGCCGCTCTCTTGTTTTCAGTCTCGCCTTTCGGTTTTTGTCGTCTTCTGACTTTGAGTTCGAGATGTCTGGCCGTGGCAAGCAGGGCGGCAAGGCGCGTGCCAAGGCCAAGTCGCGCTCGTCGCGCGCGGGGCTGCAGTTCCCTGTGGGCCGCGTCCACCGTTTGCTCCGCAAGGGCAACTATTCGGAGCGCGTGGGCGCCGGCGCCCCGGTCTATTTGGCTGCGGTGCTCGAGTACCTGACCGCCGAGATCCTGGAGCTGGCGGGCAACGCGGCGCGCGACAACAAGAAGACGCGCATCATCCCGCGCCACCTGCAGCTGGCCATCCGCAACGACGAGGAGCTCAACAAGCTGCTGGGCCGCGTGACCATCGCGCAGGGCGGTGTCCTCCCCAACATCCAGGCCGTGCTGCTGCCCAAGAAGACGGAGAGCCACCACAAGGCCAAGGGCAAGTGAGGCCACCCGCCGCCCCCGGGGACCCTTTGATGGACACCAAAGGCTCTTTTCAGAGCCACCCATCGTTTCGAGAAAAGAGCCGCACTGAGCCTGCAGTTCTTTATAGGCCAGAGGCCTGGTCACCTTCGGCTCGAGAATGAGCGAGTTGGCCATGGGGAAGGGCGCAGCGGAACCCGAGACCCTGGGGACTGATTGGGCTGCATACTCTCGAGGTGGGCAACGTGTTCCGTTAACGGCAGGAAACCCTTGCCCACAAGTGGTTACCCCTTGCTCTTGAGTCCCACCCAAAACCTCTGGTGGGGTTTTAATACACTCACCATAGAGGTGTCTTCATAATTAATAGGAACAAATTCTCTTGTCTACGGCAAAGATCCCGTGTGGTTGTCCAATACAGAATGCATTTTCTTATCGATTTATCTGATATTAAAAGTTACTTATAATCTCTAAATACTTCGTACTTTAATTCTGATGGGTAAGTCTATAGATTTCTCTTTCAATTGCCAAGTCTTAACAGAATATGAGCTCCACCAGAGTTAGAATTTATTTGGCTGGGAATTTTAAAGGTCATGGGAAAGGTTCAGTACTTAAAAAAAAGAAAGAGTAGAAGATGCTGAAAGGTGTAAAGCTTTTGAGAACTTAATTTTGAATAGGATAATTAAAGGAGTTTGTTTAATTTAGGTTGGTCAAACATTAATCAAAGATCCCTTGATTGCTAAAATCAGAGAACAAAATAATTTGTACATTGATTTTTGAAAAGGAAAACTAAGTTTGTAAGAAAATGTACAATGAGTATTGTTAGAACAAGAGGAATGATGATACATGGGACTTCAGGAAGGTGACACATTTCCTTATAAAAAGGAGGGTTTAAGAGCGTTGGAGACTCCCGGGAGAATTAACTGAAATGGCTGTCCTAGAGGAGAGGGGTTCATTGATTAAATCCATGATAATCCTTAAAAAATGTCTGCCACAAAATCAGCTCAGAAGGTGTTAACTCTTTTGTTATTTGTACCTTTTTCATGAATATATTTCTCAAAATATGGATGATTCCTACTTTATTTTTTCTTTAATCCCCAATGTAATATTTGGTTTATTGACACATAGCGATTGTATATTATGTGGGGTATGTAGTGATATTTTGATACATTTATTATTAGAGCAGGGTCATTAGCAATTATGTGTTTATTGTAATAGTACAGGCCAGTAAAATGATTCATTCAGTAAATTATGTAATTTATATTTACCCTACTAAAACTGAATTTACTCAAGCCAGGGCTTCCTGGACACCAGCTAACCACAAATCTGCTGTTTTAGAAAATATCCCAGTGCTATGAAACTATTTGAACCAAAAATCGGTGAGTAGCTGGTCCGACAGTGTGGATCTAAACAGCATGGTATTCACAAACTGTATGTCATGAGTGGGCACATTTCAGTGAAGCAAAACGGCAAGGACTGGCCAGGAGAGGGCGTAGCGTCCAGAGATCTTTTTATTGTTTTCCTGTGGAAGCATTCATTTTTAGCTGGATTTTGTCTTTATGTATGTATGTAGGTCACTATATCTCTTCAAATACCCTTTGGTGGTATTTAAGGTTTTTGCAGGGGCTGGGGACTTAGGTGTTTCAAGTATCACCCTGGATTTCCAGGTTTTGTAAAAGGTCCTCAAATGGGCTGTGAGGCCGGAGGCAGCATGGTGGGAGGGCCACTATGAGGCAGCTACGTTTGTCATCTCAGGCTATGCTCTTCCACACACAGTAAGGAGCCACACAGGCTCTTTAATTTTCAGAAAATTCAAATTTAATACAAAGATGTAGTTCCTCAGTCGTCCCGACCACATGTGGCCAGGGGATACTGTGTTAGCACAGATACAGACTGTTTCCATTATCACAAAGTTCTAGTGGACAGCTCTGGTCTAAGCTCTGGTCCTCTCTCAGGTTATCTGATTAAGAAATGTAAATTACCCAGTGCTGCCTGCTTCTGTAAGAGAAAGCTCATCAGACTTTTTTTTTTTTTTTTTTTTTTTAAGACAAAGCCTTGCCCTGTTGCCAGGCTGGAGTACAGTGGGGGCGATCTTGGTTCACTGCAACTTCTGTCTCCTGGGTTCAAGCGATTCTCCTGCTTCAGCCTCCTGAGTAGCTGGGATTACAGGCGCACGCGACTGTGCCCAGCCAGTTTTTGTATTTTTAGTAGAGATGGGGTTTCACCTTGTTGGTCAGGCTGGTCTTGAACTCCTGACCTCAGGTGATCCACCTGTTTTGGCCTCCCAAAGTGCTAGGATTACAGGCATGAGTGTAGTGAAGCACCCAGCTTCATCAGACTCTTGCATAAAGACCATATCACCTTATTGCCCTGCAATCCCTGTCCTAGGTACATATGCCCAAGAGAAAATATATGAAAATATACATTTGTTCACAAATGTGTACACATATGCTCACGGTAGCATTATTCCTGAAATACAAAAGGTGGAAACAACCCAAATGTCCATCGACCGAGGAATGCATAAGCAGATTGGGGTCTTATCCAGTTGCAGTGAAATATTCAGTCATTGAAAAGGAACGAAGCACTGACATGCTACTACAGGGATGGACCCTGACAATTTGCTCAGTGAAGCCAGACACGAAGACCACAGATTGTCTGAATCCATTGCTAGGAAATGTTCCGGACAGGCAAATCCATGGATCCTGAAGGCAGACTTGGCTGCCAGGGGCTGGAGGAGGGAGTGTCTGTCTGAGACGGGTTCCTTTAAGGGTGATGAGGATGTTCTGGAACTAGACAAGTGGTAACTGCACAACATTGTGAATGTACTAAATGCCCCTGAATTGTGTACTTTAAAGTGGTGCTTTGTGTGTCATGTGAATTTCACTGCTCAATTTTTTTTAAAAATCTGAACCAAATATATTAATGTACCAAATCACTACCGTAACCAGGAGAGCAAAAAGGAAAGGCAAGAAAGCCTGGGGTCCCAGATGCCCAGGAGGAGAGTGGCCCCTCCTGGTACTTTCCAGGAGGCCACTGGCCTACCCCAGGTATAAAGATGGGGGCAAGGACTGCCGTTGGTGCAGTGGCAACCGTCACTCGGGGACCTCGTGGAGAGAAGAGGGTCCTCTTGGTGGCTGTGGGCAGCTAATCTCTGCAGGGCTTCTGTGGGACCCTTCTAAAGGGTCCCGTGGATGCAGTGGGACCTTTCCCTGCCCACTGCGTCCCCAACATGCACACACGGTCGGTGGAAGTTTCCTGGTCACACTTCACACATCCCGAGGAAGAGAAGAGATATGTCTCAGAGGAAGAGTGCAGCTGATGCCAGCCTCAGAAGTAAGCTTGCAGTTTTTAACCTTTATTTTTTTGAGTGAGAGGTTCTTATGTTGCCCAGGCTGGCCTCGAACACGTAACCTCACATCCTCGAGCACCAGTACTATTGACCAGAGCCACCACAGCTCCCAGGAGCTTAAACTTTGCAGAACTCTCAGCTCGGCTGTGTCTCACGTCCCTCTTGTCCTCTCTGCCAGCCGTGGGTCTCTCCCCATCCCCAGCTGGTCAGTTACCACATGGTCAATGCCAAAATGCTTGCCTCCCAATTAAAAAACAAAACAAAAAAGCCTAACCCCCTCCTCCCTGCAATTTCTTCCTCTCCCGAGATGCTGCATTGAAGTGTTTGGTGTCTGTCCTTCAGGGAAACAGTTTGGGGCACCTGCTCTGACCCATGTCCAATATGGGCTGTGCCAAACTCGTCCCTGTCTGTGTGTTATCCCGTCCCACAGGGGCCCTGACTCCGATTTCCAGAGTTGGCCTTGTGCCTGCCTGGAAGAGTCTCTAGTTTCCTGTGGGCCTCACACCAAGTGTCCGCTGCAGTGGAATGCAGGCCATGTCTGTCCCACTGCCGCCTGTGGCAGCTGCTTCTGTGCAGGTGGCTGGGGACTCCAAGTCCATGGCACCACCTGGCTTCCAGACTCTGAAGCTGCCGTTGGGCCCCAGGCAGCCTTTGTTGCCCTGTGGGCAGTGGCCTCAACCCCTTGAGAATCCCACAGAAGGTTCTCCATGCCCCAGCCCCACCCGAACACTGAGACTTCCCCAGCCAGGAATGGGCTCCACCCTTCTCTGGTCACTCAAGTAAAACAGACAAACGTCCATGCGGGCTGCTGTAACAACGCACCCACCACAGCCTGCAAAAATTACAACAGGGTTTAGGGCTCCCAGCTCTGGAGGCTGGAGTACAAGATCCGGAGATAAGTTGTAAGTAGAGCTTCTGGGTCTTAAAAGCAAAGGCGGTGGCAAGACCAACATGCTAAATATGCAGGAGATGATGAGTAAACAGAAGGCCTCAGGGCGCTAAGCACTGATGGTTGCTAAGTACACAAGCCGGGCTTAGTAGCAGGGTCACTAACTATTCAGAAAGGCACTAAGTACTCACAGCCATAAAATACACCAGAGACACAAACTGTCCAGGTTCACTGAACACACGGGAGGAGCTAAATACTAATGATCATGAAGTGTTCAGGATCACACTGAAAATCCGGGATTGGTAAATACATGAGAGGCACTAAGTATCACGATCACTGGGTATACAGAGTGCTCTAAACAGGAAATACTCATGGTGACTAGGTATACAAGAGGCACTACGTATTCAGGATTGCTAAATTTATGAGAGGCACTGAATACTTATGACCGCTAAATATACAAGATGCAGTACATGCTAGACGTTAATGCGGTACACAAGAGGCACTAAATATTAAGGTAAACATGAGGCTTTAGGTATCTAGGATGACTAGACGTGCCAGAGGCACTAAATATTCAAGACAACACTAAGTATACAGTAGGCACTGAATATTCAGGGTACGCTAAACAGGCCTGGTGCACTTGAGGCTCTGCCATTGGGATCACCGTTCCGGCCCACCTTTCTCTGCAGCATGGCCAGGACAGCCTGTGCCCCTGTAGCCACACCTGCGTTCCATTGCCCCAGCGCTCGTGCTCGCCCCTGAGGCCTGGTCTTCGTAAGCAGGACTTTATCCTGGGAAAAGTCTGACAGCAGACAGAGGCAACACCTATGGACACCTGCACCCAGGATCGGGGAGTGGAGAGGGGTAAGTTGACTTACCTGGGGTAGGTGTGACACTCTTACTCTAAAATTGTCTGTGAGCCCTTCCATGCCAAAACCTGTAGCCTCAAGGTGATTTTTCAGGAGTCCCTCAGGCACAGAAGCTGTTGGAGGCGACCCCAAGGGAGGGGGCCTGGACACACTACCTTCCGTCCAATCACCACTTTTCCTCCTTTGTGGCACTGAGTGGGTGACTGTCCACTGCCGCAAGCTGAGCTCTGGGAGGGCAGGAGAAACCCTGCCTGGCTGCATTCCAGGGACACCTGCACAGCCGACCAGTGCCACCAGTGGGGCCGTCCCTGCTGTGTGGGGCAGCGTGCTTGTGCATGATAGACTTACCATGCACAAAAAAAAACTTCTTTTTTTGTTGTTTGAGAGAGGGTCTCATTCTGTTGCCCAGGCTGGTGTGCAGTGCAGTGGCAACAATCTCAGCTCACTGCTGCCTGGACCTCAAGGGATCCTCCCACCTCAGCCTCCTGAGTAGCTGGGACTACAGGCAGGCTCCCTAAACCCAGCTAGTTTTCTGTATTTTTTGTAGAGACAGGGGTTTCACCATATTGCCCAGGCTAGTCTCAAACACCTCTGCTCATGCATTCCTCTGGCCTTGGCCTCCCAATTACAGACCTGAGCCCCTGTGCCTGGCCCCATCATCGCAGTTATAAAACTGTCACATTTCCAACGCCAGGAGCTTTACCTGCACAGTCTCAAAGCCCTTGCTTCTTGGAAATCCCCCAGAGGTTGCACAGGGAAAGCCCCACCCTCTTTGTTGTTGAGAATGCTTTATTGGTCTATTTTTATTTTTTCCCAGCTTTACTGAGGAGCTGTTACCAGAAAGGGTCTCGATCCAGACGCCAAGAGAGGGTTCTTGGATCTCACGCAAGAAAGAATTCAGGGTGAATCCATAAAGTGAACGCAAGTTTTTTAAGAAAGTAAAGGAGCTTTTCACAACATGGCACTGAAAGCACAGAAGCTCCTGATCCTCCTAAAACCGAAGCCAAAGCGAAGGCTTTGAAGGCCCAGACGGCAGTGTTGAGGCGCCCACGGCCACAGAAAAACAGGATCCGCTGTCACCCACCTTCCAGGCCCAAGACGCCGCGACCCCGGAGGCTGCACAGGCATCCTCGGCAGAGCGCCCAGGAGAAGCCAGCTTGACCGCCGCGCTCTCGCCATCAAGTTTCCGCTGACCACCGAGTCCACCCTGAAGAACATGGAAGACAGCACACTTGTGTTCACTGTGGACATTAAAGCCAACAAGCCCCAGATCCACAGGCTGTGAAGAAGAAGCTCTGCGGCACTGATGCGGCCAAGGTCGACACCCTGATCAGCCCAACGGAGAGAAAAGGCCCCTGTTCCACTGGCTGCTCATTACTATGCTCTGGATTTCGCCAGCAAAATCGGGATCATCTGAACTGAGTCCAGGTGGCTAATTCTAAAGAGATGTATATCTTTTCACCATTAAAAGAAAAAAAGGAAGAAAGTGAAAGAATAACAGAATGACCACTCCAGAGGCAGAGCAGCCCTGAGGGCCACTGGCTGGCCATGTTTATGGTCATTTCTTGACTATATGCTAAGCAAGGGGTGGATTATTCATGAGTTTCCCAGGAAAGGGGTGAGCAATTCTTGGAACTGAGGGTTCCTCCCCTTTATAGTCCATATAGGGTAACTTCCTGATGTTTCCATTAACATTTGTAAATTGTTATGACACCGGTAGGAGTGTCTTGTAATTATAATTAATGATAGGGTTAATGCATTATAATTAGAATGAGTGGTGAGGATGACCAGAAGTCACATTAGTGGCCATCTTGGTTTTGGTGTGATGTGGCTGGCTTCTCGACCGCATGCTGGTTCATCAGCAAGGTCTGTGTGACCTGTATCTTGTGCCGACCTCCTATCTCATCCTGTGACTTAGAATGCGTCACCTCCTGAGAATGCAGCCCAGCAGGTCTCAGCCTTATTTTACCCAGCCCCTGGCTTCAAGATGCAGTTGCTCTGGCTGCTGAAATGCTTCTGATGGTATGATCCACAGATAAAGCTCACACATATTCAGGGTGATGTCTTGGTACATTCGTGGTGAAATGACTACCACACCTGAGTCAACACATATCACCTCACGTGGTTACATGTGTGTGTGTGGTGACAACATGTAACATCTACTCAGTGAGGCCCGGCACGGTGGCTCACGCCTGTAATCCCAGCACTTTGGGAGGCCCAGGCGGGTGGATCACGAGGTCAAGAGATCGAGACCATCCTGGTCAACATGGTGAAACCCCGTCTCTACTAAAAATACAAAAAATTAGCTGGGCATGGTGGTGCGTGCCTGTAATTCCAGGTACTCAGGAGGCTGAGGCAGGAGAATTGCCTGAACCCAGGAGGCGGAGGTTGTGGTGAGCCGAGATCGTGCCATTGCACTCCAGCCTGGGTGACAAGAGCGAAACTCCATCTCAAAAAAATAAAAAAATCTACTCAGTGAATTTCATGATATATTATTGACTAGGGTCTCCATGCTGTGCTTCAGGTCTCTAGAACTATTTGTCTTATGGCTGAAGCTTTGTACACTTTGACCGATACCTCCTCATTCCCTTGTCACCCAGCCCCTGGTAACCATCATTCCACGCTCTGTGTCTATGATTCGACTTTTTTAGATTCCACATATGAGTTGGCTCATGCGGTATTATCTGTCTTTCTGTGCCTGGCTTATTTCACTTAGCATAATGTCCTCTGGATTCCATGTTGTTGCAACTGACAATGATTTCCTTCTTTTTTATAGCTGGATAATTTTTATTACTATAGTTCAGTATAGCATGTGACAGTATCTATACCACATTTTCTTTATGCGTTCACTGATGGACATTGAGGTTGTTCTGTATCTCGGCTATTGTGAATAGTGCTGTAACGAAGATGGGCATGCAACTCTTTCTTAATGACAGAGATTTTATTTCCTTTGGCAAATACTCAGAAGTGAGACGGCTGAATCAACAAAATTAAAAGGCAACCTATGGGTGGGTGAAAACGTTTGCAAACCATACATTTTGTAAGGGGTTAATACCCAAAGTATATAAAGAGCTCCTACAACTTAATAGCAAAAAACGAAAACCAAAACAAGAACCAAATAACCTAACTTTAAAAATAGACAAAGGACCTGAATAGGCATTTCTGCCAAGAAGACATACATATGGCCAAGGGGTGTGTGAACAGGTCAACATTACCAATCGGGGAGGGCCAGTCGTGGCTCACGCCTGTAATCAGAGGCTGAGGTGGGAGGATTGCTAGAACCCAGGTGTTGGAGGCCAGCCTGGCAGCACAGGGAGAATCCGTCTCTACAAGAAAAAATTTTAAAATTAGCCGGGCGTGGTGGTGCCTGTGGTCTCACCTACTCCAGAGGCTGAGGCGGAAGTATCCTTGAGCCGGGGAAGTCTAGGCTGCAGTGAGCCGAGATTGCACCACTGCACTCCACCCTCCACCACAGAGGGAGGTCCTGTCGCACAAAGAAAAAGGCAGGAAAATGCAAATCAGGATCAGAATAAAATGTCTGCAAACAGCTGTTAGAATGGCTCATATCAAAAAGAGAAGAGACAGCAAGTGTTGGTGACGATGTGGGGAAAGGGACCTTCGCATATTGCTGCGGGGGATGTAAACCCGTGCAGCCATCACAGAAAACAGGACGGAGGTTCCTCCAAAAACTCAAAACAAGGTCCAGTTTTTCTGAGCCCTCCTTCCGCTTTCCTCTGACCGCGCTCCTTCCAACCCGCCAGCTCCAGGTCGCCTCTGCTGACCTCAGACGCGGTGTCTTTGCCCTCTGGGACGTCCGCGGCTGCTCCTCCAGCAGCCTCCCCAGTCCTGCGCGACCACCGGCCTCCTGGCGCCCTCCGCCTCTCGTGGAAACCCCTCCAACACCGCGCCATCACCTCACGCTTACCCTCACCGCCTCCTCCACGAAATTGCAAGCTCTGGGGAGGCACGTTTTCATCTGACGCGTTGACCCCAAGTGTACGAACAGTTACGCCGGGCACACAGTAGATGCCAAATGGGTATCTGATGGCCCTGAAAAAAATTCGAAGGATTCCTTTCCAGTCTGGTCAATGGAGGACGGAGAAGCAATGACATTGAACTCCAATAGCAAAACAAAGGGCGGGAGGGTGGAGTGCTGCCCCCGCGCGTTGTTCCCCACCACCCCGCCCCGCCCCTCCGGATCCTTTTCCACTAGGGTAAGAGGAGCTGACTCCGGTTTGGACTGGAAGAAAGTTTCCAAGAAAAGAAAATTAGTGGCCCACGCCCCTCCTCCGCCCCGCGCAGGCTCTGAGATGCGTCCCAGCAGTTGCTCCGGGACCTGGAGGGAGCGGGCATTTTCCTCTGGGAGAAGGTGAGCGGCTGTTGTGCTGAAATGTAACAAGAGATGTCATGTGGAGCCCGGGACGCCGTTTCCGGCTGGCTACCCGAGGTTGCGTGTAGGGGGCGGGGTCCTTAGGCAGGAAGACGATGCGCCCGGCCTCCATGGCGCACGGGTCCAGGGCCGCAGAGCCCTTCCAAGCCGGGGTCTGTCCCGGAGACCTGCGCGATGGAGCGGACGGCGGGGCTGGGGGGTGTACCGCTGCGGAGGAGCGGGGATACTGAGGTGCGGGGCGCAGGGGACGGTCGCGGGCGCTCTCTCGCGCGCGCCTTTGGGGGGCCAGGGTAGCGTGGGCTGTGCAGGCTCCGGTTCCCAGCGCTGGGTGGCTGCGGTTCCCAGCGCTGGGTGGCTGCGACTCTGCGTGAAACGCTAAGCCTTTGAGGCCCAGTTTCAAGCTCGGGGACGTCTCCCAATTGGTCAATTCAAAAGCTCTGGGTCTGGTTGCCTTGGGGACAGACTCCGCCCTCCGGGTGTCCGCACGCTGACACCGCGCGGGGGTCTGCTCCTCCCCCGGGTCAGAACCTCCTCGGGCTCCTGGTTTCACACACGCCACTGGTTTCTCGCAGCATCGCGTGTCCCCTAGATCCAAGGGCTGCGGCTTCCTCTTCCCAAAGTGAGGCTTGTTTCCCGTGGGCTTTCCAGAGCCAGCCCGCGTGGGGAGAGACTGGTGACAGGCGCCTTTGTTCCGGGCGCGCCTGGGTGGGACGCGCCCCATCCTCAGCACTAGCCCGCCGAGCCTGGCCCTCCCATCGTCCCTTCTCAAGTGCGTTTGTCCCGGGCTCTTGATTTTGTTCACTCTCTCCTGCCTACACAGACAGACACACACACACCCAGACCTAAACGTTATGTAGACAGACATGAGCTTAAAGAAACAAAACCCCCATGCGTGTCAACGCGCTCCTTTTTACCAAAATCAATAAAAATTCAACGCAATGTTACTTCCATCATTTTGCTGTTATATTATTAGGAATGTGTATGTTAACTTCTCTCCGTTTATAAATGAGGCATATTCTCATTAACCATTTGTACGGTTGCTTTTCATGCTGAAATGGCCACACTGCAGCCCCGGGGCGGTGTTTGCAAAACGTTGCTGTATCCTTTTAGGGTCACCCTGATTCTTGAAAGCATCTTTGCTTTTGTTTTTGTTTTGCTGAGACGGGGTCTAGCTCTGCTGCGTCATCAGGCTCACCGTGGCCTCAACTCCTGGCTCAAGCGATCCTCCTGCCTCAGCCTCCCAAGTAGCTGTACTATGGTGAGCATCACGGTGCCTACCTAGTTTTGTTGTTGTTTGTTTTTAGAGACTGGGTCTCTCTATATTGCCCAGGATGGCCTTGAACTCCTGGGCTCAAGCCATCCTCCAACCTCAGTCTCCCAAAGTGCTGGGATTACAGGCATGAGCCACTGCGCCCAGCCCATCTTTGCTTTCTGACAAAATTTCAGATCTAGCATGGGATTTTGTCTTCTTTTGTTTTTAATTTTTGCCTTTTTGACTCAAGATATGGACTTAACTGCACTCCAGGGAGCTCACGTGGCTCTCCGTGAAAATTAGCATTGCAGACAAAATTGAAAAGCTGGGGTGAGCTACGCTTGTCTTGCATGTTCACTGTTCTCTTTTTTTTAATGATAATGTAGGTGTCTACCCTGTGGAAATATATTGATCTTCAGAATCACAGTGGTAGTACAGTTATTATGAAACACATTATTACATTCCAGATGAACCCCCAAACGATACAGCAACCCCACTGCTGGGATACAGCTAACGGAAATGAAATCCGTATCCAGAAGAGAGGGCTGCACCATGTTCACTGCCGCACCGTTTACAGTAACCAAGACATAGAGCTCACCTAGGTATCCATTGTCCGATGAATGGGCAAAGAAAATGTGGTGCACAATGAAATACTATTCCAGCCTTAAAACAACGAAATTCCCTCCTTTGGGACAACATGGTGAAATGAGAACATTATGTTAAGTGAAATAAGCCAGATGTAGAAAGACAAGGCACCACATAATCTCACTCTGTGTGGAAACTAAAGAAGTTGATGTCGCTGGGTGCGGTGGTGACTCATGCTTGTAATCTCAGCACTTTGGGAAGCGGAGGCGGGTGGATCCCGAGGTCAAGAGTTCGAGACCAGCCTGGCCAACATGGTGAAACCCCATCTCTACTAAAAATACAAAAATTAGCCAGGCATGGTGGCATGCGACTGTAATCCCAGCTATTCAGGAGGCTGAGGCAGGAGAATCACTTGAACCCAGGAGGCAGAGGTTGCAGTGAGCCGAGATCACGCCATTGCACTCCAGCCTGGACAACAGAGTCAAAATCTGTCTCAAAAAAAAAAAAAAAAAAAAGTAAAAGAATAAAAAATGACTACTCAATAGGCAGAGTAGTGGCATGGTCCATCAGTTGTCCGTTTTTATGTTTATTTTTTGATTATATGCTAAACAAGGTGGGGATTATTCATGAGTTTCCCAGGAAAGGTGTGGTGATTTCCAGACCTGAAGGTTCCTCCCCTTTTAGACCATATAGGGTAACTTCCAGATGTTGCCATGGCATTTGTAAACTGTCATAGCACTGGTGGGAGTGTAGCGGTGAGAATGACCAGAGGTCGCTCTAATGGCCATCTTGGTTTTGATGGGGTTGGGCCGGCTTCTTTACTGCAATCTGTTTCACCCCAGGGCCTTTATAACCTGTATCTGGTCCTGTGTCTTAGAATGCCTAACCTCCTTAACCTCCTGGGAATGCAGCCCAGCACATCTCAGCCCCTATTCAAGGTGGAGTTCCTTTGGTTCACACTTCTCTGACACAAACATTTATTGTGGAAAGAAAGGAGAGACATTTCTGAAAACAGAAGTGTGGTTCTGCCCACAGGTACTGGTGGGTCTTCCACACTTGCTATGACAAGCAGTTGGAGGAAAGTAATCCACACGAGTTGTTTATGTAAAGTGCAGCAATTTCACGTTGTTGCTACTGCAGGCTGGGCCAAGGCCTTGCAGGCTGGGGTTTCACCCTCCTCATTTCACATAAACCCAGGGCCAGCCCGCACCCTCCTCATTTCACATAAACCCAGGGCCAGCCCGCACCCTCCTCATTTCACATAAACCCAGGGCCAGCCCGAACCCTCCTCATTTCACATAAACCCAGGGCCAGCCCGCACCCTCCTCATTTCACATAAACCCAGGGCCAGCCCGCACCCTCCTCATTTCACATAAACCCAGGGCCAGCCCCCACCCTCCTCATTTCACATAAACCCGGGGCCAGCCTCCACTGCAAGCTAACTGGCAGATCTACAAATAGGCCGGCCTGTCTGTGTCTCCTGATTTACAGACTGTAAACCAAAAATAAAATCCTAAGCACCCCCAACCAACCGCACAGACACCCTCTTGGTACAGGGGACCCCGCAGAACCTTAAAAACAATTTCTGGCCATGATAGGGTGGGAATCAGACACATCTCATAGACCCCTTTCTGTTGAGGTTTAGACACAACTGACAGCATTCGTGTTAACACAGACAGTCCAGGTGAGGTTTAGAGAATTTTTTTAAAAACACAGAGACAGGATGGAGTCTTGTGGCAATAAAGTGACAAATTACAAAGCAGATCTAAGAGTGAAGTCAGCACCCTACACTTAAAGAATAAACCAGCCTTTTTCTCCAGCAGCTAAACAAGCTCCGGCCTCCAGCCAAGCAGTTCAGACCATCGCTCCCTAGCTCACAGAGGCGACCTCTCCCACCCGCTGCTTCACCAGCCGCGGCGGCAGCCTTCACTTGACAGGGCACTGACTTCCGGAGCTTCCTCCCGATGAGAGACCGCGGCCGTGGGCTGGTCCTGGCCGAGCCACCCAGGCTGTGGGCCTGCGCACCTTTGCGTCCTGGAAAGACTCAGCTGGATACAGTCACGTGTGAAGCCTCAGCCCAAGGTGAGCGTCCGTCACTGGTCACGTGTGTGTGTGTTCCCGGCACACGTGTGAGGGCCGCCCTCACAGGTCTCCCAGCCCTCCCGTGGCCTGTGGAATATGCGTGTGTGGCAAAGCCGGCAGCGCAGAGCCCCTGCCCCAACCCCTCCCTACCCCGAAGTGCCCGCCCCTGGGCTTGGCCGAGGCTGCGCTTCCCTGTCCCAGGGACCGCCACCTTGCAGGCTGTAACCCTTTACCAGAAATGGAATCTGCTTTTCCAATTTATAGATCCTGTGATTTTTCAGTTAACACGAAGATAAAGCGGGACATTAAGGCGGTGAAAACATTTCCATTCCGAGCCGGCTGCAGTCAGGAAAGAGCAGCCCCGTTCTAATTTGCGCAGGGGTGGCGGGCGTCTTAGAGGAAGGAGAGGGGGCCCGCGGGGGCTCCAGACCAATCGGATGAGGCCATCTGGCTTTGCTAGCCAGCCAGGCCCAAAGACAGGATTCTACCTTCCCGCAGATGTTGGGGTCTGGGGGGAGGGGGGGACTACCGACCTGCAGGAGTCCCCGAGACCGCCAACGTAGATGTCTCATTCAACCCGAGGGAGAGAGTGCGGAAGTGAAAGAAAATAGAAAAGCGGAGTCTGGAGGGCTGGCTTAGGCTATGTCCAAGCAGCAATTTTATTTTTGCAATACGTTTCATTATATACTTTTCTGAAGTTGATGTTGTTTACGCCAGATCAACATACTTAAGTTACAGTAAGCAAGTTACTTACTTGCTTGTAACTGGGCGCCCACTAAGTTACGCCCAGTAAGTAAGTTAAGCCCAGTAAGTCAGTTACGCCCAGTAAGTTACGGTAAATTACGCCCAGTAAGTACTTAACAATTGTAAGCAAGTTACAGTTACGCCCAGTAAGTTACGGTAAATTACAGTTACACCCAGTAAGTTACGGTAAGTTACCAAGTGTAAATACTTAAGTTAATATTTTACAATGAAGGTAACAAGGGTCCAAAATGAACACAATCAAGCAATAAAACCATAAGAAGCTGAAAGTGGACATAATGCCTCCCAAGTCCTCATATCCATAAAGTAATGTCTGTTAACTATTTTGAATAGCATATTCCCTTTCTCGGTTCCTGCTTTCCCTCAGCTCGACTCCCCCAACTGGGGATCTGTGTCCAGGTTCAAGCTCACCGTATGGCAAGGCCCATTTCCTAGGGACCTCACACGGGAGTGATCCTCACAGATCCCTCACTTGCCTCTTGCACAGCCTGCAGAACCATAAGCCAAAAATGTTTTGACAAATTACCCAGCCTCTGGTATTCCTTTACAGCAACGCAAAACAGACCAAGACAATGGGTGCTGTAGGGAAGGCAGAATTCCACCTTCATCGTTTAGGGTCCAGGCTGGGCCCAAGAATTAGACTGGCATTAGACAGATAAGCAGGAGAAAAACACACATTTATTTAATACAAATTTAATGTGGCATGGGAACCCTTGTAAGAAAATGATGCAAATAGGCAGTTAGAGCCACTTATATACAGAGGTGGACAAACACTAGTTAGTTCTGAGATTTGATAAGACCACAGGCCTTGCAAGTTTGTTTGTATAGATTTCCCTTGGCTTCTGTCTTAGTCTGGGGCTGGATGATTTATTTAAAAAACAAAAAGGGTTTATTTGGCTTATGGTCTTCCAGGCTGTACAAGAAGCATGGTGGTGGGCGTGCTGGCTCACCTCTGTAATCCCAGCTCTATGGGAGGCCAAGGTGGGTGTGTCACCTGAGCTCAGGAGTTTGAAACCAGCCTGGTCAACATGGTGAAACCCCGTCTCTAATAAAAATACAAAAAATTAGCCCAGTGTGGTGGCGGGTGCCTGTAATCCCAGCTACTCAGGAGGCTGAGACAGGAGAACTGCTTGAACCCAGGAGGCAGAGGTTGCAAGTGAGCAGAGATCACGCCATTGCACTCCAGCCTGGGCAACAAGAATGAGACTCTGTCTCCAAGAAAAAATAAATAAATAAATACAAAATAAAGTGGAATGCCACGTGCTGGCTTCTGGAAGTCTCTTCCTACCAGGTGATGGGGAAGGGAGAAGAGGGGCGCAGAGAAAACACGAGGACGCTTGTGCTGAAGAGAGACGATCCTCATCACCTGGCCTACCCACATCTGCCCTTCAAAAGACGGGTGCCAGGTCTGGTGGCTGCGACCAACAGGTGCAAATATAAGGGAGAGGCGGTCGGTGGGAGCACCCTGTGGGCCAATCAGAGAGCAGCGGGCCATCACGCCGCCTGAGGCCGGCCAATGGGAATGTGGTAAGCGATATAAAAGCAGGCAACTCGCTGAGGGCTGGGCAGTCTGGGTAGAAGCGGCCGCAGGGAGGTGTTGGCTCCATGGCCCGAACCAAGCACCGCTACCGACCCGGGACAGTGGCGCTGTGCGAGATCCGCTGCTTCCCGAAGTCCACTGAGCTGCTGCTCCACAAGCTGCCCTTCCAGCGGCTGATCCACGCTTCCAGAGCTCGGCCGTGATGGCGCTGCAGGCCTGCGAGGCCTACCCGGTGGGGCTGCTCGGGGACACCAACCTGTGTGCCATTCACGCCCAGCGGATCACCATGATGCCCAGGGACATCCAGCTGGTGCGCCGTATCCGCGGGGAGCGGGCCTGGGAGGGCCGTCACACCACCTGAGGCTGCGCGACTCGCCTCAAAGGCTCTGTTAAGAGCCACCCATCTGGTCGGAAAAGTGGCTGCAGCAAGCGGCGTTCTTGGACTTTGCGGGATTCCTTCCGCTGGCCGGTGCCGGCTCGCCCACCTCTGAGTAGGGTGGGAGGCTAGCGAGTCCTGTGCAGTTCTCCCTGTCCCTTTAGGTCAGCTCACCCGCTACCGCCCATCCTGTCTCCAGATACAAGTACCAGCTAGTGGTGGTGCTCTTGGCCTATCCCTTTACAAAAGAATCGGGGGTGGTTTTGGGGTTGGGGGAAGAGGGTCTGTGGGAATGGGGGTGTGAAATGGGGGAAGAGGGTTTGGGGGGATGGGGGAATGAATTCGGGGAACAGGGTTTGGGGGATAACCATCTGCCAGAAAACCCTATCTCCAGTTAGGTAACAAGCTTAGCTAAGCTAGTTGTGTGTGTTAACCTATCTACAGTTAGGCTGGAAGGCTGGCTGGTCTTGGGTGTTCTCAGCTCAGCTGCTTTCAAATTAGGTTACAAGTCGTGTGTGTGTGTGTGTGTGTGTGTGTGTGTGTGTATACATGGCAGTTGCTTTCAAGTGAGGTTACCAATGGCAGCCCATCTGTTAGGTTAAAAGGACAGCAAGGATCACCTGAGGTCAGGAGTTCAGACCAGCTAACATGGTGAAACCCCATCTCTACTAAAAATACAAAAATTAGCCGGATGTGGTGACGGACCTGTGATCCCAGCTACTCAGGAGGCTGAGGCAGAATTGCTTGAACCCAGGAGGCAGAGGTTACCATGAGCCAAGATCGTGTCACTGCACTCCAGCCTGGGTGATAGAGTGAGACTCCATCTTAAAACAGAAAGTCCAGTTACTTGCATGTGAACTTGGCCTACCTTAGGAGGCTGGCTAGTTGTAAATGTTAACTTGGACTGTCTCCTGTTAGGTTAGAAGGCTGGCTAGGAGTGCATGTGAGTGCGCCCGTGTGTAGCTGTGGTGTTGGCCCATCTCCGGTTAGGTTAGAGGTGCACATCATCGTAGGTGTTAATATACCCAATCTCCCATTTAGTTAGAACTCAGTCTACTGTTCGGCTAGTTGTGTGTGAGGGGCCCACGAGGCGTGTGTATTGTAACAGCCTGAGTGAAATCAGTACTGGTAAACCCCAAGGAGGGCACTGTTCCAGTTTAGCAGACATGGGCAGCCCACTGAAGCAGGCTTCCCAGCGCTGCAGAGTAGACTAGTAGTGCTCTGGGGACAAGACACAACAACCTGCTGAGAAACCCTACAGCTAGGGCAGCAGGCCACAGACGCAACGGCAGACTTACGTCAGGAACACCTGAGGACGGCTGTGAGGATTGTCTCCCTCTGGTACAGCTTGCAACCACTTGTTAAAGGCTTCATTAAACTGAAAGAAGCCAAGCACTACCGGATGCTCTGATCATGGAGGGAATAAAATCCATGTCCTGTGGCCACTGCCCACTCTGCTCGAGTGGAGGGAGCCTGTATTGTGTGTAGAAGCAACGACAGTAACGGGCATTCTTAGGCATAGCAAGGGGTATGCATGAAATGCTGTCAACAGACAACAGTGGATTTTGTAAGTCTCTTTGGACCTAATTTATAGCCTACTGACTCGAGTGAAAAGCTTTATCAATTCACTAGTACACACACAACCGAACATCATAGCTTTTAACTCTCAGCATGTATTTAAACTTACGAGTGACAGATTCTTGGAGAGCTATCCAAAAAGCCTAGAATATTCAGGGACAACTGTGTTTTGGTTTTTAAAGTCAGCTCCGACTTTCAATACTAGACTCCCTTGGGGTAAATTTATGTCTTCTCTCTTCCCCCTCCCCCCCCCAGAGATGGGGTCTTGACATGCTGCCCAGGCTGGAGTGCAGTGGCTATTCACAGACATGAGCATAGCGCCAGCCTCAAAATCCTGGGCTCAAGCCATCTTCCTGCCTCGGCCTCCCCACGCAGGTAAAATTCAAGTCTTCTGTGCTTTACGAAGCCCTTGTCCTGACAAAGTCTTGCTCAGGGGCGGAGAGCTAACCCTGTGTAACCTTGCTGATGATCTTGCTCGGTAGCCTGGAGGGAGCAGGAATTTGGGCAGTTAGCTACATTTGGGGGAACTGGATGCAGATAACTCATTCTTGACAGGATCATGATCACGCTTTGCCTTCCGTAGGAGACCAAGCCACCTGAGCAGCTCCCTGTCATTCGGTCTTTGTAAAAAGGACAGAGTTTAAGTTGGGCAGTGTGGCACGTGCCTGTGATCCCAGCTACTCGGGAGGCGAGATAGCTTCAGCCCAGGAGTTTCTGAGGCCAATCTGAGCAACAGACCCTGTCAGAAAAAGAAACAAAGACCCAGAGGTTGGCTTCATATGTTCCTTGTTTTAACTGTTTAATGGGGTGAATAGTGTACCAATTCATGTCCTATAAAGACAGAACAAGGCTACACAGATCTCAGAGCTGACAGCTGAGGACCTAGGAAGAAACTAACCCGAGTCTCTCTGGGTTGAGTAAGTGGGTACTCACGGAAGCCTTTCCAGCCAGGTGTGGTGGCTCATGCCTGTAATCCCAGCTTTTTGGGAAGCTGAGATGGGAAGATTTCTTGAGGCCAGGAGTTCAAGACCAGCCTGGACAACATGGCAAGACCCTGTCTCTACAGAAAATATAGAAATTAGCTGGGCGTGGTGGCGTGTGCCTGTGGTCCTAGCTACTCAGAAGGCTGAGGTTCGAGGATTGCTTGAGCCCAAGAGTTCCAGGTTACAATGGCAGTGCTGTGTGTGATCACACCACCGCTGCACTCCAGTCTGGGCGACAGAGCCAGAGCCTTTGCTTCTGTGTCCTGCGGCTCCTAACGATGTGGGATATTAACTGCAACATGGACATCTGTTCAACTTGTACTCAACTCTGAGCGCACATACACTATGGAGGCAGCCTGAGTGTGCAGTGTTTATAGAAGTGGAATGAGTGGTTCTAAATAACCAAAGGTTAAAATCCCAGAAATCAACAATAGAAAGGAGAGCTAGGCATTAAGAGATAGAAGAATATACCTCCCCAAAATATGCATGTTTGATATAAGAATTATTTTGAGCTGAAGGCACTTGAAGAGCAGCAGGTGCAAGAAGGGCCCTTTGACCCCTTTTCCTGAAAGCAGGAGGTGAACCCTCCCTGGGAAAGGTGCTTCCCTCTACCAGGGGGGTGATACAGCATGATGGCATGTGGACTGAAGCACAGCAGAAATGTGTACAAACAGACTTTGTTAAAATAGCTCTTATTGCCAGGGGCAGTGGCTCCTGCCTGTAATCCCAGCACTTTGGGAGACCCAGGCAGGTGGATCACCTGAGGTCAGGAGCTCCAGACCAGCCTGGCCAACGTGGTGAAACCCCATCTCTACTAAAACAAACATACAAAAAAATTAGCTGGGTGTGGTGGTGTGCACCTGTAGTCCCAGCTACTTGGGCGGCAGAGGCAGGAGAATCTCTTGAACCCAAGGAGGTGTAGGTTGCAGTGAGCCGAGATCATGCCACTGCACTCCAGCCTGGGTGACAGAGTGAGACTCTGTATCAAACAAACAATAAATAGCTCTTATCTTCCTCCAGCCTCCCCAGGTATTCCAGTTGCTTTCTCACAATTAGCTACCCTTTGTTCAGTCCAGGGGATGAGCACTTACGCCTGACCACTCCAGGTCATCATTTTGCCGTGTTCATGTAAAAATGGAACGTGTCTGCTTTCTCCCATTAATCTGTCTTCTTTTGTCTCAGCCCATACAGGCTGCTAGGACAAAGTGCCATGGACTTGGTGGTTTATAAGCAACAGGAATTTATGGTTCACGGATCTGATGGCCGGCAAGCCCAAGGTCATGTTGTGAACAGATTCAGCTTCTGGTGAGATCCTGCTTTGTGGTTCACAGACGGGGCCTTCTCACTGTGTTCTTACGTGGTACAAGGGGCAAGGGAGTTCTCTGGGGTCCCTTTTCTAAGGGACTAATCCTATTCAGGAAGGCTAGAGTGCAATCTCGGCTTAACGAAACCTCCGCCTCCCGGGTTCAAGCGATTCTCCTGCCTCAGCCTCCCAAGTAGCTGGGACTACAGGCACACACTACCACGCCCAGCCAATTTTTGTATTTTTTGTAAGGATGGGATTTCACCATGTTGACTGGGATGATCTCAATCTCCTGACCTTGTGATCTGCCTGCCTCGGCCTCCCAAAGTGCTGGGATTACAGGCGTGAGCCCCTGCACCTGGCCTATTCCTTTACTTGCTTCCACTTTATGGATTTGCCCCGTATTCCTTCTTGCCCAAGATCCAAAACCCCCTCTTGGGGGTCTGGATCAGGACCTGTTCCTGGCAATGAAACCACCTGGGCTGGCGGCAAGACCCAGCCTGCCCCCCACCAGGGGACCTGACCCTCCAGTCGGTCCCTCCAACCTGACGCCCCAGGATTGGGATGCCCCTCTTTGGACCCTCATCCTGATGCTGACCGCCCACTAGAGATCTTAGGGCTCGCTGCTCCCCGGGACCCCCTTCAAGCTCCATCAACCACAATGGTCCCTGCTGCCTCACTCCCACTGCAGCCCCAGCAAACGCCTCTCCATTCCCTACCCCAACCCTCCAGCCTGAGGCTTAGCTGCCCTCCTGCAGCTCCAAACCCGGGTTGAGAAACCTCTTCAAATCCCACTCCCCACCCAGGCTCACCTGCCCGTCCGCTCGCCCCTTGCCCCGCCAGCCGTCCCCATTCCGCTCCCCACCTCCTCACTCCCAAGTAACCCCCAACTCCCCACCCGCCACACTCCTTTAATCTTCCCTAATAGTCCCACTCCAGGCCACTGAGACTCCTGTCCTCTCTGGGCTGCGGACCACATCCTCCCCGCCGCCCAGCGAGCTCCCCGCTACGCCCGCCCCTGGCCAGTCCAGATCCTCCCATCCGCTGCCGCCTTCCTTCCGCCCCCACAACCACCCCCAACCTCTTCTAAGAGGCGCCGCCCCATCCCCGCCCCGACCACCGCCCGTCCCCTCGCCCAGCACTCCCCCCGCTGACGCCACAAAGCCCCTCGGCCGTCTGCCCCCACGCCCGGGCCAGGCCGCGGTCTCCTGTGCTTCGTGGGGCAGACCCAGCCTCTGCCGGCTGCGCCAGGCGCGGTGCGGGGCCCCTCCGCTTGAGTACCCGTCCGCAGGCCTGGGTCACGACCTGAGCCCAACCTGGTCTTCCCCGCTCTCCATCGCCCGCCTTCCCGCCTCCGCCGCGTCCCTGGAGAGGGTTCCAGGTGGGAGTCCAGAGCCCAGGGCCAGCGCGCTGCCACTAGGGAACTCTCCCGGCGCCCTAGCGGACCAGAGCTGTAAGGAGGCTGTTGCCCAGGCCTCGCTTCGGTCCGGGTGGGCCAGGCTGCCTCCCTTAGGGTTCCTGGGGCGAGGCGGGGCTGGCACCAGGGGGTGTAGAAAGTTGCTAGAAAATGGACGTGGGACGCGACCGGGGACTTCTGAGACCTGTCAACGCCCTCGCTTTAGGGAGTGGCAGAACGGAAGGGGAGGATCCTGCTTGCAGTATAGGCGTGATTTTCAAATCCCTCTGCACCTCCGTCCCCATAGCAACCCCGTGGCGTTAGCGGAAAACTATGGATCTCCGCTGCTTGGGGTCGCGAGTGTTCAGACTGCAGGGGCGTCTGTGTATGTTGTGCGCTGACGCTCGCGTGCCTGCGCGTGTGTGGGCGCATGTGTCCCTGTGTACACGCATGCATGTTTACAGGTCTGTGCATCTGTGCCTGTGTGTGCTGTGTCTGTGGATGCGTGTTTCTGTGCGTACGTGTTTGTGCGTGTGCATTTGTGTGTGGTGCGTATGCGTGAGTGTGCGTGTTTGTGCGTGCCCGGGCACTTTTGTATGCATGCATGGGTGTGTATGTTCGTCTGTGCGTGTATGCACCTGTTTGTGTGTGCGTGTGTTTGTGTGTGCCCGGGCGCTTCTGTATGCATGCATGGGTGTGTATGTTCGTCTGTGCGTGTATGCACCTGTGTTTGTGTGTGCCTGGGCACTTTTGTATGCATGCATGGGTGTGTATGTTCGTCTGTGCATGTATGGTTTCCCCAGCTGCACCTCACTGCCGAATGGAACAGAGCTTTTTTCTTCTGATAGCGCGTCCCTTTTTCCTTTGGTTTTCCGAGTTTTGTTAAAGAAAAAATTCTTCTGATGCTTGTTGAAAGGCTCCTTAGTCAAGCTGCTTGTCCCAGGGGAGATGGGGCGCAAATCCCAGCAAAGACCGCCAGGGAGGAGAGGAGAATGGAGTGGGGGTCTGGGTGGGGCCGGTAGGTAGAAAGTGATTAAGGGAAGGCTCCAAGCTTAGGGGCTTCTCCGGGAAGGCAGGTTGGAGGCTTAGCAAGCAAAGGTGGGGGAGGAGGAGCTGCTGAGGTGTGGAGCTGGGGTGGCCAGCAGCAGGCGTAAGGGGACAGCAGGGTCCAGGCCCAGTGGAGAGGAGGGACAGAGGGGCCTGGCCAGCAATGGTCAGGGAGGATGTGTTATTGACGAGACTAAAAATGACGGCTCTGGACCCTCTAACTGGACCGCAGTCCTAGCCCTCCCGTAAAGGGAGGCTGCACAGGAAGCTTGCACACTGCCAGCACCCAGAGCATCGGGCCACTCCCTGCCACCTCTCTCCAGAGTCCCTCAACTCGGGTACCCCCCATCGTGTCTCCCAGGAGCCATGGAGGTTGTGGAACTCGCCAGAAAGTTGCAGGAGGAAGCTACGTGCTCCATCTGCCTGGACTACTTCACGGACCCTGTGATGACCGCATGTGGCCACAACTTCTGCCGCGCCTGCATCCAGCTGAGCTGGGAGGAGGCGCAGGGCAAGAAGAGGAGGCGCAAGCGGAAGGGCTCCTTCCCCTGCCCCGAGTGCAGAGAGATGTCCCTGCAGAAGAGCCTGCGGCCCAATCGGCTGCTGACCAAGGTGGCTGAGATGGCGCGGCAGCACCCTGGCCTAGAGAAGCGGGACCTGTGCCAGGAGCACCAGGAGCCCCTCAAGCTTTTCTGCCAGGAGGACCGGAGCCCCATCTGCGTGGTGTGCAGGGAGTCCCGGGAGCACCAGCTGCACCGGGTGCTGCCTGTCGAGGAGGCAGTGCAGGGGTACAAGGTGGGCCACATCAGGGGCGGGGTCAGGGGCTGGGGAGGAGGCATCCAGGGGACAAGGTAGCCCAGGTCATGGGGAGGGAGAAGGTGTCCAGGGACAAAGTATCTCAAGTCAGGGGCCGGGGAGGAGGTGTCAGGGGGACAAGGTGGCCCAGGTCTGGGGCTGGGGAGGAGGTGTCAGGGGGACAAGGTGGCCCAGGTCATGGGGGAGGGAGGAGGTGTCAGGGGGACAAGGTGGCCCAGGTCTGGGGCTGGGGAGGAGGTGTCAGGGGGACAAGGTGGCCCAGGTCTGGGGGAGGGAGGAGGTGTCAGGGGGACAAGGTGGCCCAGGTCTGGGGGAGGGAGGAGGTGTCAGGGGGACAAGGTGGCCCAGGTCTGGGGGAGGGAGGAGGTGTCAGGGGGACAAGGTGGCCCAGGTCTGGGGCTGGGGAGGGGTGTCCACGGGGAGAAGGTGGACCTACGCTGTATGATGCAGGCATCGGAAAATCTGACCTCTGTGGTTAACACCTCCAGGGGCACTGAGGAAGAACTGTCCAGACCCAGGCACAATTGGTGCCTGAAGAATATCTTAGTTGATAGTGTCATTGTTCAGCTGTTTTCTTTATGTAATCCTTCATATATAATCATATATTAGTTTATAGAAATAGTGCCTGAAGTGTAACTTACTACTTACATATATCTAGCTTATACAATCATACTTAATACTTAGTATCTAGCATACTTAGTTCTATATAATCTTTCTATATAATCATATAGGTATTGTAGTTGGAGCTGTACGGACACATTTAGTGCTGATTTATAGAATCCTTCTATATAACCATATAGTAGTTTGTAGTAGGAGGAATGCCTAGAGCAGTCACAGAACAGAAGCAGCACATGGGAAAACAGCCAGACCAGGACGAGAACCAAAGACCCAAGCGGTGGCGTCCCTGCCTGAAAGGGCACACGCTGTATGGCAGGCTTGGAGCAGGAGCCTCTTCTCCTGATAAAGGAGTTGTGGTACCTTGCATCCAGTTTCTGTGGAAAGTAGGCCTCAGGCCTGAGATCCCTCAAATAACTGAGGGAGAAGAACCCCTCTGGTATGACCAGTCACAGCAGCTGTACACCCCATCAGTCTTTTCTCACTTCTGTGCTAGCTCAAAGAATCCTCCCATAAATATCTTGAGAGCACAAGTCTGTCAGCTCCCACTGCATTAAGCTTACAGTATCTTTCTGTTAGAAACCCTTTGTAGTCTCCAGCCCCTGGATAAGAAGTATTGTACACAACACCTGTTGCACACAGCCCACCTCCTTGCCTTGGTGACCTAATGGGGGTGGACCGCTTTTCTGTACACGACCCTCTACTACTGTGCACGGCACGGTCCCCTGCCGCACACGGCCCACCTCTCTGTCCAGGTGACATAATGGGGTGGTCCCCTCGCTTGTGACTCACATGATTATATATGCCCTATTACTAAGCCTATAGATGATGACGTTACTCATGACCCTGCCCCTGCTTGAACCTAATAAATACAGATGCTCTGGGGCATTTGGGGGCCGTCGCTGATCTCCACTCACAGGTGGTGTGACCCCCCAAGTCCAGATGCTCTTCACCAGTTCTTCAGTGTCCTGTCTCTTTACCTCTTGGATTCTGCATCTCAACACAAGGGACACCCCACCACCCTGTGGGGCCCCCACAGCCCTACAGACCTCCACTCTCTTATTCTGGGTGGCCCTGAGAACTGAACTGATTTGAGGCGGATGAGCAGAACCAAATGACTGAAATTCATTCACCATAAGCTTCTCATGACCGGGGAGTCCCTCCCGAGGATCCGGAGGCCCACGTAGCTGAGGAGGAGGGTTAGCTTAGCAGGGTCCCTTTGCACAGATTCTCCTGGTTTTGGCTTCCCGGCCCTGGTAAGAACGTGGCTTTCCTCCTGGCCTAGGGCAGGCCTCTCTGGCATGGTGGGCTGTGCCTCCGGCTCTTAGGAAGGCCGAGGGTCAGAGTGATTCTTGCACCTGCCCTTCTTTAAGTGCCTTAAGCTGAAAATAATCCACAGCAGCACATTCTGGTGTTGTATTGTGATGCCCTGCCCCTCCTGAGGAGGGTCGTCAGTGGGGGTGCAGTTTCAGTCAGCACAGTTGGACTCTGGGCGGGAGGTGGTGGGACTGCTGACTCCAAATCCTGCAGTTTGTGTCCTGCAGTTGAAGCTGGAGGAGAACATGGAGTACCTACGGGAGAAGATCACCAGGATGGGGAAGCTGCAGGCCAGGGAGGAGCAGAGTTTAGCCAAGTGGCAGGTGGGTGCCCAGGGCCGTCCGGTCCCTTTTCCTGCTGCTGCTCCATCTTTCTGCATTTACACGTCTGTGTCTGTTCGTGGGGGTATGCTGCCTCAGCAGCAGGGGAAGAAGAAAGTTGCCTCTACCCTTCTAGGTTCCATGGCTGGGCCTTGAATGAAACTGACTTAAGACAGATGAACAGCAGAGAAAAAGATAAAAAGGCAATTTTAGCCGGGTGCAGTGGCTCACACCTGTAATCCCAGCACTTTGGGAGGCCGAGGCGGGCGGATCATGAGGTCCGGAGATTGACCATCCTGGCTAACACGGTGAACCCCCGTCTATACTAAAAATGCAAAAAATTAGCCAGGCATGGTGGCTCGACCCTGTAGTCCCAGCTACCCAAGAGGCTGAGGAAGGAGAATTGCTTGAACCTGGGAGGCGGAGGTTGTGGTGAGCTGAGATTGCATCACTGCACTCCAGGCTGGGCAACAGAACAAGACTCTGTCTCAAAACAAACAAACAAACAAAGGCAATTTTAAATTACAGATGTACTCATAGGCTGGAGAGAAGGGACCTCAAAAATGAGAGTCAGAGAGGCAGACGGTGGGTGAGGGCTCAGTGCCACAAAGGGGGCAGCCAGAGAGTGGGAAGAGGGCTTGGGGCCGGCCTCTGGGCTGGGAGGCAGGTGATGCTGGTTAAGTGTCTCAGGTGAAAAGAGTTGTTTCTGGAATGCTCTTCCTGGCATAGATTCCGTCACCATTGGAAATTTCCTTCGTGAAAGAGCACTTTATTTTTATTCTTCTAATTTTTTTTAAAATTTGAGGTGGAGTTTCGCTCTTGTTGCCCAGGCTGGAGTGCAATAGTGTGGTCTCAGCTCACTGCAACCTCAGCCTCCTGGATTCAAGCAATTCTCCTGCCTCAGCCTCCCAAGCAGCAAGGACTACAGGTGCCTGCCGCCATGCCCAGCTAACTTTTGTATTTTTAGTAGAGATGGGGTTTCATTATTGTTGGTCAGGCTGGTCTTGAACTCCTGACCTCAGGGGAGCTGCCTGCCTTGGCCTTCCAAAGTGCTGGGATTACAGGTCTGAGTGCCTGCGCCTGGCCAAGCACTTTATTTTTTAAGGCAGCTAATGGGAGAAGTAAACAGGTTTTCCTGCTTCTGCAGGTTCTCAATGGCCTTTAGTTCACCCTAATTTTGTTACTTTTTGTTTTTTTCTTGAGTCTGAGTCTTCTTGCTCTGTGGCCAGGCTGGAGTGCAGTGGTGTGATCACAGCTCACCGCAGCCTCAAACTCCTGGACTCAAGTGACCCTCCTGCCTCAACCTCCTGAGGAGCTGGGACTACAGGCATTTGCTACCATGACTGGCTAATTTTTTTTTTTTTTTGGTAGAAATACGGGGTCTTGCTATATTGCCCAGGCTGGCCTCAAGCTCATGAGCTCAAACTGTCTTCCCACTTCAGCCTCCCAAAGCACTGGGATTACAGGTGTGAGCCACTGTGTCCAGCCAAGAGAAGAGATTTATTTTCGAGGCCGCTGAGTGAGGAGGAGGGAGAACAGTTCTTAAACCCGCCTCCCTAGTGATTCAGCTTAGGAGTATTTATGGGCTAGAGAGCAGGTGGTCCAGCAGGCCCATTCTGTGCAGGTGTCGTCGGGTTCTTGGCATTTCACAGGACACAGGCACCGGGAGTGGCAGTGTTAGCATGGTCTGAGGTTGGAGGTTTTGGCCCTCCGACATCAAAAGGCCACCTCGGGCACTGGCATAGGTCCAGTTGAAGGGCAGATGGTCTCAGCCAGTTCCGTCATGACAGGAGCTGCCCCACGCTCCCGAAGCAACCAGTCGCATGTGATCTCTGCGTATCATCTGTAGAGCAGCCAGTGAAGGCCGAGCGTCAGCAGTGAGGGGCACAGCCTTTGGCTTCATGGAAAAAGGAAAAAATAATAAAAAGCAATCATGGCAGGCTGACCTGATCAATGAATTGCTGGGTTGCATTAGCACCAGTGACTCGATTCTGGTGGGGTCTGTTCTTCTGGGACCTAGCACAGTGTTCCAGTTCAAAACAATGGCCCCTGAGGGTCACTTGAGTCCAGGAGTCTGAGGCGGCAGTGAACCATGATCATGCCACTGAACTCCAGCCTGGGCAATATAGCAAGACCCTGTCTCTAAAAAACATTTTAAGATTAGCTGAGCATGGTGGTGGTGGCGCATGTCTGTAGTCCCACTTACCTGGAAGGCTGAGGTGGGAGGGTCACTTGGGGCCAGGAGGGCAAGGTTGCATTCCAGCCTGGCCAACAGAGCAAGACCCTGTCTCAAAACAAAACAAAAAAACAACAGCCATCCACAAATTTTGTTTGACATGCCCAAGAGGCTTATTTCGGGGTGGACATTCTGAACCTCCTCAGAGCAAGGGTGCATGTGTGTTTGGATGTGTGGAAGTTGCAGTTTGGGGCTCAGAGGGTTACACTCACTGACAGCGTAATGGGGGTGGGGGTCTCTGTCACAGTTCCTGGTCCCCAACTAAATCTCCAGTCACTGGTGATCTGTGGGTTGCCGGGGCCCTGGGGACAGTTGCCAGCATTCCTGGGGCCAAGCCACCTGCTGGCAACACGCTGGGCTTCTCCACTCCTGCAGGGCAAGGTGAAGGAGCGGAGAGAACGCATTCTGCTGGAGTTTGAGAAGATGAACCTCTACCTGGCAGAGGAAGAGCAGAGGCTCCTCTGGGCTCTGGAGAGGGAGGAGGAGGAGACTACCAGCAGGCTCCAGGACAGCGTGGCCTACCTGGACCAGCAGGGCCACTCCCTGGAGCTGCTGCTACTGCAGCTGGAGGAGCGGAGTACACAGGGGCCCCTCCAGATGCTGCAGGTGAGCCAGTGGGCTTCATAGCTGGGGTGGGACGTGAGCTTGGACAGGCATGGGCAGGGGCCACTAGACTTGGGGAAGGGGCAGCAGACAGGGAATGGCTGTTAGCTCCCAGTCCCGGAGGCTGGGTGGCCGAGGCCAAGGTGGGCAGGGCTGATCCCTCCTGAACCTCTCTCCTGGGCCTGAAGACGCTGTCTCCTCCCGTGTCCTCATGGCATCATTTCCGTCTATGAAGATGCCAGTTAGACTGGATTAGGGCCACCCCAGTAACACCTGCTCCTTAAAGAAACTATCACCAAACACAGTCACACTCTGAGGTCCTGCGGGTTTGGGCTTCAGCCTGTGAATTTGTGGGGACACAAGTCAGTCCCTAACAGGTTCCAACCTGAGACAGTATCCCCATTTCCTTCCAAGTCCAGAGAGGTGGCCTGGGACACCTGGCAGCCAGGTGCAGCTTTGGGACAGGGACTCCATGTCTCAGTGTGTGGGAGGTGCACTGTACCAGGAGTGAGTCTCGTGGCAGCACCTGATCGCAATGGCAGTGGGGAGGTGACCAGGCCAGCCTGCCATGGCCCTGGAGAGGAGGCTTGATGATGGCTGACGAGACCTCATCTCTACCAAAATTTACAAATACAAGCAGGGCATGTGTGTGCCCGTGCTCCCAGGACTCAGGAGGCTGAGGCAGGAAGATCTCTAGAGCCTGTGTGCTCAAGGCCACAGCGAGCTGTTGTGCCTGCACTCCAGCGGGGGTGTTGGTGAGATCACATCTCAAAAAAAAACAAAAAGGAAAGCAAAGCTGCCTGTTCACAACCCACTACGTTGTTTTGCGCCCCACTGAGGGGAGGAGCCCCAGCAGCCGGGAGAAGGTGCTCCTGGGAGCAGGGGGCCAAGCACGCCACCTGCATGGGAGTCCCTGCCAAGAGCTAGGCTCACGCCCTGGACTCTAGAAAACAGAAAAGTGGCCTTTGGAAAACAGAAGTCCCTTGTAGCTTCTGGGCCAGAGAAGTGAACAGTGATCTCTTCAGGGAACTCTGAACCCCTAGAGGCTACAGAAAATCCCCAGGTGGCTCAGTCTGTTCCCCGCCCCCTCCCTTCCCAAACTGCACCCCCACCCCATTCCTGCTGGGTGGGCTGCACCCACCTAAAATGGGACGGAAGGGTCAGTGTCGAGTGGCCACTTGCCCAGAAGGGCTCCCTCTGCCTCTGCTGACTGTGGGCTGACAGGGTAGCTCAGCTTCGCTGAGGCACTGGGGGCTCTGGTGGGAGTGGGAGCCGAGGCAGTGGGGACAGCTCAGGAGTGCTGTGAGGTCATCTGCAGGAAGCAATGCCCAGGGGACAGGACGGGTCTTGCCCTAAGACATGGACAAGAAGGGAGCGGGGACACTGAGGTGAGCTGGGAGCTTGGCCCAGTCCCTGCCTCCATCCTTGTCTTTTACAGGACATGAAGGAACCCTTGAGCAGGTATGTGGTCCCCGAAGGTGGAGGCGGTGGCAGCGGAGGGGAGGTGGGGGACAATAAGATGGTGGAGCAGGAGGACAGTAAAACTGCACCCCCTTGGAGGAAGAACAATGCGAGTGTGCAGTGCCCAGAGGTCGCCCTCCCAGCCAGACCCAGGACTGTGTGCAGGGTTCCCGGACAGATCGAAGTGCTCAGAGGCTTCCTAGGTAAGTGGGCACCCAGGGACGGGACCCCTCACCCAGGATCTCTTGGCAGCAACCCACTGTACCCCCCAGTCTTGGAAGCCACCACTGGGGGGTCTGCGAGTGCACTGCCTGTTGACAGTCAGGGGTTATTCACTGTGCCCTCGAAGGGCAGCGTTACTGGGGGTTTTAATTCATGGGATGAAGCTTAAGTGACCCTTCCACCTGGGCCCTGGTTCCTCATCGCCCCCAATACCCACACACATTTAGGGCGTGGGAGCATCAAGTAAGCCCAGATTCATGGCAGGAGAGACCTCTAGGGAGTTAGGGGACCATTTGGTCTCATGCACCGCTAGGGCCCGGGCGCTCCCACCTTTGACCCTGAACACCCACACCTCTCCTCTCTCTCTGGCTACGCCCATCTACAGAGGAGGTGGTGCCGGACCCCAGCTCCGCATACCCCTACCTGCTCCTGTATGAGGGCCGCCAGAGGTGCTACCTGGGCTCTCCGCCAGAGGAACACGGCTTCTGCACCAAAGACAGATTCGTCGCTTACCCCTGTGCTGTGGGCCAGGCGACCTTCTCCTCGGGGAGGCATTACTGGGAAGTGGGCCTGAACCTCACTGGGGATGCGCTGTGGGCCCTGGGTGTGTGCAGAGATGACGTGAGCCGGAAAGACAGGGTCACCAAGTGCCCCGAAAACGGCTTCTGGGTGGTGCAGCTGTCCAAGGGGACCAAGTACTTGCCTGCCATGTCCACCCCCACCCCCACCCCTGTCATGCTGAGGGAGCCTCCCAGCCACATGGGCGTCTTCCTGGACTTTGAGGCCGGGGAGGTGTCGTTCTACAGTGTGAGCGATGGGTCCCACCTGCACACCTACTCCCAGGCCACCTTCCTGGGCCCCCTGCAGCCTTTCTTCTGCCTGGGGGCGCCGAAGTCTGGTCAGATGGTCATCTCCACAGTCACCATGTGGGTGAAGGAATAGATACCAGGCCGGGGGACTCTGGCACTGCCCCCGGCTCTGGAGAAGGCGGGGCCTTCTGCTCACTGCAGGCCACCTGCCAGGGATCTCTGGCATCACGCTGGCAGCCAATAGCCATGCAGGGGGGGTTCTCAAAGTCTACAACCATGATTAAAACCGTCAAACATTAAGAGGCTGTATTGCCAGATGCTTCCTAGAGGAAACTTGAAAGCCCCCGCATTCTGAGTTGACTGACTTCTAAATCCATACCTGCACAGCAGGAACACGTGCCCCCACCCTCACTTTGGAATGACACGAATCCGTGGCTCCCGCCGCCCCCCCCCCCCAGCGGTTTAGGTTACTCTGTCAAAGAAGCAGAAATACCCTATGCATCCTATTGCGGGGTGGGGGGCGGATGGTGAGTTGCTCTGCCAGGGATGGTCCCAGGCTACCCGCGGAAATGCCGTATGCATCCTATTGCGGGGTGGGGGGCGGGTGGTGAGTTGCTCTGCCAGGGATGGTCCCAGGCTACCCGCGGAAATGCCGTATGCATCCTATCGGGTCCTTCGAAAGGGAAAATGCGACAGGCCGAACCCCTAAAGAGCCTCAGAGCTGCCCACTCCCATCCCGTTCGACCCTCAAAGTTGCACGAGCAGGTGCAAAATCCCAAAGAGGTTAGGTTTTATCTAGGGACCTCCTTTCCACAGCGCCCTTCCCTTTTCCAAGGACCCCCACCCACCCCTGCAGCCTCAAGCACTTTAACAGCCCGAGTCAATCACCAGCGCGACAGAATTCCGGAGTCAGCGCACTCCTACTCCGACGAAGCCGGAGTCTGCGCTACGGGCTGCCAGGAACAACGCGCCCTTCGGAGTGGTTCCCGCAGAGAGAATGTGCGCCTCTTGCAGAGCTGGGCCTGGAGGGACAATCCGGTCCCATCCCCCAACTCTGGTGATTCTGACCTTGGCCTGCTGAGGCCGTGTGGGCCCGGCCTTCCCGAGGGTGCCCGCCCTGGGACGCACGGGCTGAGGGGTGAGGACGCACTCGGGGTAGGCCGAGAGGCTCCATTGCCCCAGGCTGCGGGTTCCCTGAGTCCCTGCAGTTGCTACTGTGTGCCCGGCCCTCTGCCCATCTCTCCAAGCCTCGCCCCACCTCTCCCCGCTAACCCATTCCGTGCGCCCCCGCCCTCCCCGAGCCTCCGCCCCCTTCCCCCACACTCCCCCTGCGCGCCGCCCTCTTCCCCCATCCCTCCCCAGCGTCCCGCCCTCTTCCCCCATCTCTCCCCTGCGCCCCGCCCCCTGCCCCCATCCCTCCCCTGCGCCCCGCCCTCTTCCCCATCCCTCCCCTGCGTCCCGCCCTCTTCCCCCATCCCTCCCCTGCGTCCCGCCCTCTTCCCCCATCCCTCCCCTGCGTCCCGCCCTCTTCCCCCATCCCTCCCCTGCGTCCCGCCCTCTTCCCCCATCCCTCCCCTGCGCCCCGCCCCCTGCCCTTATCCCTCCCCTGCGCCCCGCCCTCTTCCCCCATCCCTCCCCGGCGCTTCATTCCTTCCTAGGGCCAAGGTAAAGACTACGCCATACCAACTCGAGCGGCGGGGACGCCGGGTCAGTGAGTGAATGTTCTCTAATTCCGTCCTGCCCGCGGGCCGCGTGACGGGCAGCGGCCAATCGGAGGCAAAAGCGCGTTCTTCCAAAAAAAAAAAAAAAAAAAAAAAAAAAAAAAAACCCACCCAGTCGCTTCCTGCTTCCGCCTCGGCTCGCGCTCCTCTTCCTGCCGGCGTCCGGGTGCCCTACGTCCCGCGTCCCCCGAGCGCCCGGAGCCTCCGCGCCCAGCGCTACCCAAGCGCAATATCCTGCGCCCCGGAGTCCCCGCGCCTCGGAGCCTGAGCCCCCGCGAGTCCGAGCCCCGCCCAGAGTGCCCGCGCCCCCGCAGCCGGATCCCCCGCGTCTCCCCGCCGCCACCCCGCGGACAGTACAGCGTTCCGCCCCCGGCCCGCGCCATGGCCGCCCCCGACCTGTCCACCAACCTCCAGGAGGAGGCCACCTGCGCCATCTGCCTTGACTACTTCACGGACCCGGTGATGACCGACTGCGGTCACAACTTCTGCCGCGAGTGCATCCGGCGCTGCTGGGGCCAGCCCGAGGGCCCGTACGCGTGCCCCGAGTGCCGCGAGCTGTCCCCGCAGAGGAACCTACGGCCCAACCGCCCGCTTGCCAAGATGGCCGAGATGGCGCGGCGCCTGCACCCACCGTCGCCCGTCCCGCAGGGCGTGTGTCCCGCGCACCGCGAGCCCCTGGCCGCCTTCTGCGGGGACGAGCTGCGCCTGCTGTGCGCGGCCTGCGAGCGCTCGGGGGAGCACTGGGCGCACCGCGTGCGGCCGCTGCAGGACGCGGCCGAAGACCTCAAGGTGCGCCCGGGCGGGGGCAGCGAGCAGGGGCGTCGGGGAGCCGGGAGCTGGGGAGGCCTGGGCGGGTGGGGGGATTGGGGGGTTGGTTGCTCCCGGCCTAATCTGTCTCTGTCTAGGGCGGGTAGCTCAAGATGCAGCCTGCCCTGGGCCTGTGAGGGCGGTGTCGCGCAGGATGGCCGTGGGGGCTTATGACAGCCTGTTTCAGGCAGGTCCCTTGGGGCAATGGCTGCCAATGCGACCCTGCTCTCGGGGGTGAGGGGCGTACCTCCCGTAGATAGAGGCTAAGAGGGTAAGGTGGAAGGTGGTGGCGTGGAGGCAAGGCAAATGTGAGCGTGCACTATGTGGGTGTACACTATGTGGGCGTACACTGTGAGCGTGCACTCTGAGCGTACACTGAGCATACACTATGTGAGCGTGCACTCAGCATACACTATGTGGGTGTACACTATGTGAGCGTGGACGATGTGGGTGTACACTGAGTGCACTGTGAGCGTGCACTATGTGAGCATGGACTCTGAGCGTGCACTCAGCGTACACTATGTGAGCGTGCACTGTGGGTGTACACAGCGTATACTATGTGAGCGTGCACTATGTGGGTGTACACTATGTGAGCGTGCACTATGTGGGTGTACACTATGTAAGCGTGCACTCAGCGTACACCATGTGAGCACGCACTGACCGTGCACTGTGTGAGCGTACACTGGCCAGGAAGGGGCCGGGATCAGAGGAAAGTGGGAGAAGCTCAGAGGTGGCGGCTGGGCAGGATGAGTGGGGCAGACTCATCTCCTCTTTCACCTCCCCTCCAGGCCACCCTGCCTTTCTGGGTGGGGTACTGGGAGCCGCCTCTGCTATCTGAGATGCCAGGGCCCAGCCCACCTTCTCTCTCCTTGTCTTGTTGCTTAAAACCCAAACAAACCCGGAGCTTCAGGGCCTGGGGCACACGCTTCCCTGCCCTGCCCTCCCTCCCACTGTCATCTTCCTCGCTGACCTGCTGCACTGTGCTCCTGGGAGCCCAGGTATGGGGCAAATGGCAGCATCTTTGGAGCTTCCTCGATTGTACCTTTCGTGTGGCATCACGGTCACCTGTGTGTGCCAGACTAGCAGTTAAGCCAGTGTTAGAATCAGTACTGAGTCAATCTGTCCCTGTCACAGAGCAAATTTATGGGACACTAGAATAAATCTGAATCTGTCCCCTTCTGCTCTGGATTTTAGCAGAAAAGTGGCTTAGAGCCATATCCCTGGGCTTGTCTAGACACGGATTCCTGTGGGTTTTGTTTTCTTTATCTGTGCAGGAATGTCTACACCTCAGACATATTAGCCCAGCAGGATTACCCTCCTGACACCAATTACCCTGATGGGTGCAGAGTGCACCCAGTAGCTCTACAGAGTTGACCTGATGAAGTTTCATGGGCTAACACTTAGCCCTTTCTTTTGTAGATGAAGAAAAAATTTTCCCTCTACCCTGTTAGGTTCAGTGGCTGTGGGCTGCAGATTAAACTGGCATAAGACAGATCAACAGGAAAAGAAAGCATACAATTTTATTCATATTTTAAGTTTCATTGCACAAGAACTTTATAGAAAAGAAGCAAACAAGAGCTCTTAGATTCTGGGGGTTATATTTGTACCATTTCAGCAAAGGACTGTAAATTGTGGAGAAGTGACTGGACACAGAAAAAGGACATTGGGCTTCTAGGGCCGATAAGTGGTGGGAAAGTGACTAGGAAATAGATGGGAAGAAGCAACACAAGATAATGGTCCTTGTAGTGAGGTCTGTTTCACAGACTCTCTCCTGGGCTTAGAGTGCTCTCTTGTTCCTGGTAGAGGGGTTGCCTTTCTCATGGAGAATGAATACCCTGCTTTTAGGCAGACAGGACTACAGAGAGCTCTTCTGTACCTGCTTTTACCCAGAATCCCTCCTGCCACAGCAGCATATGGGGGGTGACATGTCCTGTTCCTCTCCACTGCATGAGGGCCTGTGTGATGTTAACCATAGCAAACTGCTTTTACCTGCCCCATGGCCCTAGAAAGCTCCGTCCTCCCCATGGGGCGGCTGTGTGTCCAGAGCTGCGGCCCACGAGCTCCGTGACAAGTTAACTCCTCACCTGGCGCTGACCTGCAGTCATAACAGCTGAACAGCCCCAGGCTGGTTTGCCCGTAGTTGGTAGACAGGGAAGTCCCAGCAAGTTCCAGTTCCAGGAATCAGCACATGGGAAAGAGAACATAGCCCCAGTTCTCTCTGGGTTTGTGTATCCGATGGTACTTGTGGGGGGAGGGGTTTGCCACAGGAGGGAGGAGGCCGGGGAAGATCCCAGGCCCGCACCAAGCCCCAGCATCCCAGTTCTGACTACATGCAGGGTAAGAGGCTTCCATTCTCATCTGGCAAGAGACACAAAGATGTGTGTACTTGAAATGCGAGATCTTTGCCATGCTGGGTGCATTGTGCTGCTTGACAGCCCATTCCATCTGTTCAAATGCTGTTTGTAACCTTAGTGTTGAAACCTGAAAATGTTAGCTGGGCGCAGTGGCTCATGCCCATAATCCCAGCACTTTTGGAGGCTGAGGTGGGTGGATCACCTGAGGTCAGGAGTTCAAGACCACCCTGGCCAACATAGCAAAAACCTGTCTCAACTAAAAATACAAAGATTAGCTGGGTGTGGTGACGGGCACCTGTAATCCCAGCTACTTGGGAGGCTGAGGCAGGAGAGTCGCTTGAACTCAGTAAGTGGAGGTTGCAGTCAGCCAAGATTGACTGACTGACAGCCTGAGGGACAGAGCGAGACTCCATATCAAAAAAAAAAAGAAAAAAGAGAAAGCAAAATATCAGAGGGACTGAAGCATCGAGGGAGAAGCTAAGAGGCGCTGGGCCAAGTGTTTGAGGTGGGGTTGGGTTACAGGGGCCAGGCCTGAGTTTTCTGTGGCAGGCCGACAGCGGTGAGGAGGGAGGCCTGGGGACAGGGACACCCATCTGGGGTTCTTGTAGCTTCTGGGGAGCTGAGCCAGGCAGAGCCAACAAGCAGCTGGACATGTTGGTGGTGCTCCAGAGGTGCCAGGCAGTCTCCTCGAATCCGCAAATCGTGAGGTCGGGTGTGGAACCAAAGTGAGCACCGGGAGCTGGGCAACTGAGCTCATGCCCTGGCTCCGCTACCTGGGCAGACTTCTGGACCCTCCCAGCACCTCTGTCCTTCCAGAGCATGGACAGAGAGGTGATAGCCTCGGGTGGCTGAGAAGCCAAGAGGTGTGGCCAGCACAAGGCCCGTTGCCGATGAGGCTGTCAGATGGGGATGGGGTGGAAGTGAACAGACCCTTCTAGGAGTGGGGTGCCGGCACCCCAAGCACATGAGGTGCTGCGGGCTTGTGTGTAGGATTCTGACTGCTTCCCGGTATGCACAGCCTGGAGAACCGTGGGAATGAGAACTGAGGACCGAGAAAGCAGAATGCAAGTGTGCCCAGCTGGGGGCTTATTACAGTGACAGCGGGTGAAGCTGAAAATGCACAGGGTCCTGGGTGGCTTGGAGGAAAGATGGGGCGGGCAGCTAGGTGTCTGTCGATGCCGACGGTCCTACCAAAACACCGTGGCTTGCACGTGGCAGATGTGTCCTACTTGCAGCTCTGGCCGCTGGAAGTCCAAGATCAAGGCCTTCAGGTTCAGTGTGTGCTGAGGGCGCCTTCTCACTGTGGCTTCAGGTGAAAGCGGTGAGGGTTCCTTTAAAAGAACACTAATTCTATCGCGATGGCTCCACCTTCCTGATCTAATCAGCTCCCAAAGGCCCTGCCTGCTGCATCATCTTCCTGGGGGTTGGGATTTCAAGCTGTGAATTTGCTGGGGGGGGGGGGGCAGAATTTTTGGACCCCAGCGTAGGCTTGGCCCAGGACCTTGTGTGCTTGTGTGAGCTGGCAGGTGAGGAGGAAGGGCGCTGTCTTGGGGATGGACAGGGTAGGCAGCCGGAGTCCCTGAGGCAGCTTTGCAAAGCAGGAAGAGGCCTGGGGTAGGGTAGCAAGATCAAGAACTAGAAAGATGCCCCGTCTGAGAAAAAGGAAAGAAGGCGGCCGGCCGGGGCTGTCAGCCTCTGGCAAGAGGTGGGCCTGCCCACCCACCACGAGGGCACACTCGTTGGAGGGCATCAAGCTCGCTCATGCTCCGGGCAGATTTCACTTTGTGCCCATTGTCTCTGAGGAGGAACGTGGGACAGAAGGTCCGGTGTGCCCAGGGACTGAGGTCTCATGGCCCTGCCTGGCCTCTCCCGCAGGTAAAGCTGGAGAAGTCACTGGAGCACCTCCGGAAGCAGATGCAGGATGCGCTGCTGTTCCAAGCCCAGGCGGATGAGACCTGCGCCTTGTGGCAGGCAGGTGCTGGGGCGCCCAGGGTCCTGGGTGGTGGGGCAGGGGGTGAGGGTCCTGCACGAGGGACCCCGGGGGCGGTGCTGGCCGGGCACACTTGCCCTCAGTGCCCCATGACCAGTTACTGCTTCAGCCTAGCCCCACCGAGCCCACTGAGGCTGGGCCTGCCCGCTTCGGGCGGGCGTGGGATACCACACCCCAAGGGCCCTGCCCTGTGGTTCCAGCATGCTTGTGTGGCAACTCTGAGGTGGACCTGGAGGTGAATTTGGAGGTTTTGAGTGATTAGGCAGTAGATGATGGGATTCAGCTATCCCTAGGAGTAGATTTGGGGTCTGGGCAGTCCCAGGGGAGAATCTGGAGGTCAGGAGGGACCCTGGGTGGTAGATTCGGGGTCCAGCTGGCTCCAGGTGTGGATACAGGGTTCTCCCAAAGCAAGGGCTAGGTTCGGGAGTTGGGGAGGACTAGGTGGTTTGTGGTATTAGAGTTGGGGTCTGGCAGGTTTCAGCTTGTGGTAAAATAGGATTTGACTGTCCCAGAGGGGTGGGTTTGGGGTTTGGGAGGTGCCACAGGTGGATCTGGGGTCTGGCCTTAGCTGTCCTCTCTGGGCCCTGCAGAAGATGGTGGAAAGCCAGCGGCAGAACGTGCTGGGGGAGTTTGAGCGTCTTCGCCGCTTGCTGGCCGAGGAGGAGCAGCAGCTGCTGCAGAGGCTGGAGGAGGAGGAGCTGGAGGTGCTGCCCCGTCTGCGGGAGGGCGCGGCCCGCCTGGGCCAGCAGAGCGCTCACCTGGCTGAGCTCATCGCCGAGCTTGAGGGCCGCTGCCGGCTGCCTGCGCTGGGCCTGCTGCAGGTGAGCTGGATGGGGCGGCTGGGAGGCAGCCTCAGTGGCCACTGGGGCTCAGTCTGGCCTTGCCGGAGGAGGGAGAACCAGAAAGCGCAAGAAGCCGGGATGGAGGTTGTCTGGGTGGAGACATGCATGGCCTGGCTGGATGTGCCCGGCTCTTGCCCTTGAAATGCTGAGTCAGCAGCAGGACAGCCATCCCACCCCCAAAACCCATGTGCCAAGAAAGGCACTATCGATTTTCCTCTGTAGACGTACACAGGTGGTATCTCTTAAGTGCTTACGTGAAGTCACGCCATCTTGGCCTGACCAATGTCGCTGCTCCCTGTGGGCACAGCCGAGAGAGAGTGTGTGCTTGCCAGCCCGCCTGGGGCAGGACGCGCAAGCTGGTGCTGCTGACCCCCCTTCCCACAGGCTCTGACCTGCCCTCCCTGCCTGGGACCACCTGGGGCCTCCCGTAGGCCTCCCACAGGCGTCCCCAGCAGGAAGTCCTCACCCTTCTCTCTGTCCCCACCGCACGCCCCATGCATCTCCATCACGAGGGGTCTCGTCCTCCTCTGCTTCAGGAGACTCCTTCCCCACGTGGGGCTCCACTCCGCCAGCCGAGGGGTCTCATCCTCCTCTGCTTCCGGGAGACTCCACTCCGAGAGCCGGTCCTCCTGGGCCTGGGCCTCCCTAGGTGCGGCCCCAAACCAGAACCAGCAGTGCCCTGCCCTCTGGCCTGGCGTCAGCTCTCCCTGCTTGGCAAGTGTGCTCTGACACTCCCGTGCTGACAGGCCCCGTGTGGGCTGGGGGTATCTGCTGACGCCCTCCTGTGGGGTTCAGCCAGACATTGGTCCCACAAAACGGAGAACGTGTTCCGCACCCAGCATGTGTAGACCCAAGGGGCCCGAAGATTCCCAGGAAACGGGGGCCCTGGGCAGTTCCCGCTCTTCCAGAGGAGAGAGGCCGTGTGAGTGAATTCGGCCACTGGTGGGGCAGGGCTACCGGACCCAGGCGGAGCCCACAACGCTGCAGATGTGGCTGGGCGGCTTTGCACAGGAGGTGACCCGTCGCCAGCCTCTGGGCAAGCAGAGCGTCAGACCAGGCTCCTGGTTTCGTTTGTCATTTCTGTCGTGAGCTGTTTTCTGTATATGATTTTGTGGATTTAGGGGTGCGAGTGCAGCCGGAGTGTAACCGTCACCTGAAGCTGCACGCTGTACCCACCTCCGAGGGTGCAGCGTCTGCCCTCCACTCTGCATGCACCCGCTTGGACATTAACTGGCCTTGAGCCTGGGAAGAGGGAGGGACACTTAAGGAGAGGGTCCTGGGGTCCGTAAATCATGGGGCGGGGAGGTACCCAGGGGACTGAGGAGACGCCGTCAGGGAGGCAGGGAGAGCAGGTGTCGGGGAAGCTAGGGAGGGTTTCAAGGAAGGAGTTGACCTGGAAATCGGGACCCACAGTTTGTGTGAAGAGGGGTTTGGGCTCTTGGCTGCAACGTTGTGGCATGTGGGTGGGTCTTGGTCTCATGCCTGCCTGCATTCACCTTACTGAGCGGCCTGCCTGTCCATGCCTTGGCCAAGCTGCCTGCCCAGGTTTGGCCTGGCTACGAGGCTTCAGGAGGTCCCTCCTGTCCCCCCAGCCTGCCGGCCCAGAGCTGCCCTGGCATGTGCGGTGGGGTCCCCACATGGGGGTCACAGGAGAACAGCCCCAGGGCTCTGTGTTGGCGTGGGCTGTGTGCCCGTCTGAGAGGGAGAGGTGGGGTGGGTTTGCACCCTTTGCCACCAGTTGGGTTGGGGAGGCCCAGCCCACGCTCCCAGCACCCGGGCCCGCTGGACAAGGCTTGAGTGGCTCCCGGGCTGCTTCAGACCCTGGGTCCTGGCTTGCGGCAGGCCCTGCTCGTAGCCGTGGAGTGGTTTTGTTCATCAATGCTGCGCAGAAACCATCCCCCTCCTGGAGGTCAAGGTTGTCCTCCACCCCCACGCCCCTCTCCTGCCACCCTGCCTCCCGCCTTGTGATAGCCACCGCCTGTTTCCAGATGACCCCAGGGCGGCCCCCCCCACCAGGTAGAATAGCCAAGGTGGTGCTGCTCCCAGCTGCCTTGCTCACTGTAGTCCCAGGTACTCAGTGGTGGCCTGTGCCCGCCCCTCCCTTGTCCTGCACACTCCCGTGTCTACCAGCAACTCTCCTTGGGCTTCAGAACTCTACCAAGAGTCTTCTCTTTATTCATTTATGTATGAATTATTGAGACAGGGTCTCATTCTGTCGCCTACACTGGAGTACAGTGGCGTGATTATGACCCGCTGCAGCCTCAACATCCTGGGTGCCAGCCACCCTCCCACCTCAGCCTCCTGAGTAGCTGGGACCCGGGTTCAAGCTGTTCTTCTGCCTCAGCCTTCCGAGTAGCTGGGACTACAGGCACGAGGACTACCACCACCAAGTCCAACTAATTTAAACAATTTTTTTAGAGATGGGGTTTCACCATGTTGGTCAGCCTGGTCTTGAACTCCTGGACTGAAGTGATCTGCCTGCCTCGGCCTCCAAAGTGCTGGCCTGCGTGGCGAAACCCCATCTCTACTAAAAATACAAAAATTAGCCGGATGTAGTGGGGCGCCTGTAGTCCCAGCTACTCGGGAGGCTGAGGCAGAAGAATCACTTGAACCCGGGTGGCAGAGGTTGCAGTGAGCTGAGATTGTGCCACTGCACTCCAGCCTGGTGACAGAGCGAGACTCTATCTCAAAAAAATAATAATAATGAAAAAGTAAAATTTTGGGGGGGCTAGAGTGTGTTGTTTTCAACACACTGTTGCAGACAGAATTAGCTACTAGTATGTGTGGAAATCTTCTTTGCCCATTCTCCCGTATGCAAGGAAACCTTGTCTGGGCGTGTGTCTTACTCACTTCTGCACCTGCCCTGATATCTGGCACGACGTGTGTCAGAACGAACAGGGTGTGGGGTCATCTGTGTGACAGTGTGGGTTAAATCCCTGCAGTGCACGGAAGACTGTTGTAGAGGCACAAGAATGTACCTCCCAGGAGCTGATGTTCCAGTTCTGGGTGTGTCACGCCAGCCCCGGCTACCACCTGGACTACCACCGGTGGCGGGCGGGGGGGGCCTCCCCAGCTGAGACATTATCTCCCAGTCCTGGACACTGGAAAGCTGAGGTCAAGGCCGGCTCCTCCTGGGGTCTCCTGGGCCTGTAGACGCCATCTCTTCCTGTATCCTCACAGGGTCAGCCCTCTGTGGGTGTCTGCCCGTCACCCCTTCTTATGAAACCTAAGTTCTGTTGCGTTACAGCCACCCTGATGGCTTCATTTTACTATCATTTCCTCTTTAAAGGCCGTTTTTCCCAATGGTCTAGTTCTGAGGTCCTGAAGTTTCCAGCTTCAACATACAGATTTGGTGGGGTGGACACAACTCAGGCCCTAACACGGAGTCAGATGCTGTCACGGATCAGGCATCGACACAGGAAGGAGGCAGCCAGGGCATACGGCAGGGCAGGGCAGGGCAGAGCAGGGAACCTGCGGGCCCGGTGGAGCTGGCCGAGGGAGCAGTGCAGCCGTGGGACTGGGCTCCAGCTGGGGTGGAGGCACCCCTGGGTGGAGGCACCCCTAGCTGGAGGCTGGGATTCGTGCCTGTCCTGCCTTAGCACCTGGGGTGCCCCTTGGGGCTCTGGGTAGTGAGCCAACAGCCAGATGCCCTGCGTCCAGCTGTCAGGCAGAAGTGGGGCTTGGTCCACAAAGCTGGGCTGCGCCTGTTGGTGATGGCCTCCTGGCACGCATGCCCAAGCCGCCTCCAGCATTCCTGGGACTCAGCCTTGCTGCGGGTGGTTTCTGGCCCCTTGTTTGTGTTTTTTGCTGCCTGAGACTCAAATGTGGGGCTCCTGGGGTGGAGGTGGGCTCCAGGAGCAGGTGATGGTCACTGACACCGAGTGTGCTGTTTCCTCCCCACATAGGACATCAAGGACGCCCTGCGCAGGTACGAGCCCAGCCTCTCGCAGGGGTTGGGGCGGGAGGGATGGGGGGTGGGAGGGAGTGGGGTGGGGGCCTGGCTGTTGGCCATGGGGATAACACCTGGGCTGTCCCCTCTAGGGTCCAGGATGTGAAGCTACAGCCCCCAGAAGTTGTGCCCATGGAGCTGAGGACTGTGTGCAGGGTCTCGGGACTGGTGGAGACACTGCAGAGGTTTCGAGGTGGGTGCGGAGGCCCCAGGTGGGGAGATGACTCCAGGAGGGGATCCCCCCAAGGACCTTGGGCCCCCCCCAAGCAGCCAGTCATGTGTTCTGTGCCCTGCCGCTGCCAGCTCCAGACTCATAGTGTCGTGCTGGTGGGTCATTGGGAGAATGTCCTCGGCTCACAACTTCCTGGGCACTAAGTGGGTATCCAAGGCTTCCATTCCGCATTGAGCGGGATTGCCAAAGCTGGCACTACAGGAGTTACTACAGACCCTGCTGATTAAGGGCTCAGTCCCATGGGACTGCCCACTTGAGATGCCCATCACAGCTTCTTGGGGCTGCCCCTGCCTCTGCCCCCGGCCCCTCTGCAGGTGTGAGCAGTGGCTGGTACAGCCTGCGGAGCTTGGGACAGCACTTGACTCACCGTCGGGGGTTTGTTGTGAAGGACAGCACTCAGAAAGGGGCACAGAGCCTCCCAGCACCTCCTCTCAGAAAGGGCCACAGAGCCTCCCAGCACCTCCACCCGGAAAGGGGCACAGAGCCTCCCAGCACCTCCACGTTTTCAGCCGGAAGCTCCCAGAGCCCCAAGAGCTGTTTAGTGTCTTCATGGAGGGTCCATGGCAGGGTTAGGATTGATTAAATCATTGTCATTGGTGATGGGGCTCAACCTCAGGCCCCTTTCCCCTTCCTGAGGTCGGGGCTGGGGCTCAGCGAGGGCTCAGCGAGGGCTCAGCGTTCCCGCCCTCTGCTCACAGGATCGGTCCTTCTGGTGGCTGGCCCTCTGCTGGGTTTTCTTGGGTCCCCACCTCAGCCACTGTAGTGGTGTCAACTCCTCAGGTGTGATGGAAAGGAGCGTCTTACAATAACAGGAGGTGCTCCTGTCACTCAGGGTTCTGTGAGCTCCGGGCCAGGAATTGGGGACAAAACCCGCATCTGTTTCTTGTATCCCAGTTGCCCAGAGAAAGTCCTGTCCTCAGCCCTTGCCTGTCGTGGGAGCTGTGTGCAGGCCTCCAGAGGTGGAGAGACCTGAAATCTGGGCATGGTCAGGGTTGGACAGCCACCCTAATTCACGTCCTTCACTTGGGGATTGAAAGAAAGAATGGGCTGGGTGCAATAGCTCACATCTGTAATCCCAGCACTTTGAGAGGCTCATGTGGGAGGATTGCTTGAGGCCAGCAGTTCAAGACCAGCCTAGGAAACATAGCAAGACTCCCATCTCTACAAATAAAAAACTAAAAAATGAGCCAGCCATGGTGGCACACACCTGTAATCCCAGCAACTGGGGAGGCTGAGGCAGGAGGATCGTTGGAGCGCAGGAGGTCGAGGCTGCAGTGAGCCATGATTTCACCACTGCACTGCAGCCTGGGGTCATAGAGCAAGACCATGCCTCTTTAAAAAAACAAAAGAAAGCAACCGGCCAGGTGCAGTGGCTCACACCTGTAATCCCAGCACTTTCAGGGCTGAGGCTGAGACGGGCAGATCACCTGAGGTCAGGAGTTTGAGACCAGCCTGACCAAAGTGGAGAAACCCCGTCTCTACTAAAAATATACAAAATTAGCTGGGCGTGGTAGCGCATGCCTGTAATCCCAGCTACTCGGGAGGCTGAGGCAGGAGAATGGCTTGAACCCGGGAGGTGGAGGTTGTGGTGAGCCGAGATCGTAGCACTGCACTCCAGCCTGGGTAACAAGAGCAAAACTCCATCTCAGAAAAAAAAGCAACCAAGATTTCCTCTTGACCTCTGGAGGCAAAACATGGTCCAATTTCTAGGACATTGTAAGTTGCAACTGGACGTGGTTAGGTGGGTTTTTTCTGGGGAGGGGGTGTCTGCCTGGACAGTAAGTTGCTCCAGAAGTGGTGAGGATACAGGACCCTGGGGCAGACAGCCGAGGCTGTCCGGCTGGGACGACCCTACGCACACACCCAGGACCCGGGCAGGTGGCCCCAGCTGGCCCTTGGCTGTGCCTGGGTGACCTTGGGCCTCTCTCTGCAGGGGACGTGACCCTGGACCCGGACACCGCCAACCCTGAGCTGGTCCTGTCTGAAGACAGGCGGAGCGTGCAGCGCGGTGACCTGCGCCAGGCCCTGCCGGACAGCCCGGAGCGCTTCGACCCTGGCCCCTGCGTGCTGGGCCGGGAGCGCTTCACCTCAGGCCGCCACTACTGGGAGGTGGAGGTCGGGGACCGCAGCAGCTGGGCCCTGGGTGTGTGCAGGGAGAACGTGAACCGGAAGGAGAAGGGCGAGCTATCCGCGGGCAACGGCTTCTGGATCCTGGTCTTCCTGGGGAGCTACTACAACTCCCCAGAACGGGCCTTGGCTCCACTCCGGGACCCGCCCAAGCGCGTGGGGATCTTTCTGGACTATGAGGCCGGACATCTCTCCTTCTACAGTGCCGCTGACGGGTCGCTGCTCTTCATTTTCCCCGAGATCCCCTTCTCGGGGACGCTGCGGCCCCTCTTCTCGCCCCTATCCAGCAGCCCAACCCCGATGACTATCTGCCGGCCGAAAGGTGGGTCTGGGGATGCCCTGGCTCCCCAGTGACTCCTGGAGAAGTCCTGTCGCCTCCTGCCCTCTAGGCCACGGAGTGTTCTGGCCACTTGGAGGACCTGGGAGGAGGGAGTGTGTGCCCTTTGAATAAGAGGAGGAACTCCTGGTGCCTTTCTGAGCCTGTGTGGGAGAACCCCAATTCTAGCACTCCTGGAACCCATGAGAGAGTGTGGGGCAGACTCGCCCTCCCCGGAAGACCCTTCCAGCCACCGGGTGCCACTTAGTGCCAACAGCCCTCACCAAAGCTGGGAACCCATGGCCTCCGTGGCTCTGGCCTATGGTTCCAGAAGCTGCAAAAGCTCCCCCAGAGCTTGCAGAATCCAGGGTCCACCTAAGCAGCACAGCTCCTGCAGCCTGGCCAACCCCCAAAAGTCCTGTGCACCCCACCTCTGAAGATGCTGGGGGAGGCAGCTGGGATGGGAGCCAGCCCATCCCTGTCTGTGGCCCCATAGTGGTTGAGAGCCCGTCAGTCCTGGGTGGGGCTGCTTCAGAACAATTAGGGGGCGGCCCCAGTGAGTTTTCAGAGAGATGGTGGGTGGAGCCAGTGAGGACAGGAACCAAGAGTAGATGTCCCAGAATAAAGGGGCTTCTGGGAGGTGCCCGGGCACAGATGCCTGTTGAGCAGGTGTGTGGGCCTGGAGGAGAGAGCAGAGTCAGAAATGTCATCTGCAGGCCCACGTTGTGACTTGAAGCTTCCATGGGCCTGTCACCATTGGGTTTTGCCCTTGCAAAATCTTCCCTGGTCTCTGGTGGCCCCTGAGGACCCAGGATCCCAGCTGCTGCTTTCGGATATGCACTTCTGGCCGCTAGCCTCGTAGTCCCCTTACCCTGGGAGGAGCAGGAGGGACCCAGAGTCTGGAGCATACAGAGCATGCCAGGAGCCGGGTTTCGTGTTGGGTTGGGGTTTCCTTGTCCTCATGGTACTGCTCTATTGTCAGCGTCCCCACATTAAATAAACTTCGGCTGTTATCTGCAAGTCATCCTGACGGTGCCTGCTTAGCCTAGGACAACAGCGGGTGCCCACTGTACCCAGCAGAGGGCAGGGCCCCAGGGAGGCTGCTGATGGGGCAGGCAGGAAGCTTGGGCAGCGTGGGGGCTGGGACAGGCAGCTGCTTCCCACGCCCAGGCACTGAGGAGTCACAGATGGGCTGTCTGCTTTCTTTGCCCCAATATACATGTTCTGGCCGGGCGTGGAGGCTCACGCCTGTAATCCCAGCACTCTGGGAGGTAGAGGTGGGCAGATCACCTCAGATCAGGCGTTCAAGACCAGCCTGGCCAACATGGTGAAACCCCATCTCTACTAAAAATACAAAAATTTAGCCAGGCGTGGTGGCGGGTGCGTTATCCCAGCTACTCAGGAGGCTGAGGCAGGAGAATCACTTGAACCCGGGAGGCAGAGGTTGCAGTGAGCCAAGATTGCGCTTCAGCCCGGGTGACGAGTGAAACTCAATTTTAAAAAGTGTGTGTGCGTGTGCGTATGTGTGTGTGCGTGTGTGTGTGTGTGTATGTGTGTGTGTGCACGTTTCTTATGTGGAGCTATTGCAGGAATTTTTTTAGATGACCTGGTAAATGATTCCTGTGTTCCATCGTGCTTTAGTGAGTAGTCTCCTGAATGCAGTTGACCGAATATTTAGGTCCCCACAAATTCCTATGTTGAAATCCTCACCACAAGTTCATGTTACGAGGACATGGGGCTTTGCGGATGTAATTAGGTCATGAGTGAGATGAGACCCTCATCAGTGCATCAGTGGGGCCAGCTCTGGGCGGCTGTGCATACTGAGGGATGGTGTTGTCTTTCCGGGTCCACAAGGGGGCGTAGTTTTAAGGGCAAGAACCTCCCAGCACCAGGCTCCCTTCCCGTCTCCATCCGGGAGATTTAATGGTCTTCGTTTTAATTTTCTCGGGCGCGGGAAGAATCAAAAGTCAGTCACTCCAGCGGAAGCTGTAAGGAACTCTTTCATTAGCCAGGGGTCTTGGAGAAGGTGGGGGTTCCTCCCAGGTTAAAAGTCCCCTTCTTCCACACCCCTTCGGACTCCATGTTTGGGTCCCCTTCCTCCCTCTCTCTCTTGCTGTCTCTCTCCCTGTCTCTCTGTCTCTCTCTCTCTCTGCAATCACTTTCTGCAAACACTTTGGGGTTCGGTATTTATGAGCGCACTGCACCGTAGTCTCCTCTCTCGTTCTTGAGAGCACAAGGGACCAAGAACCTTGGAGAAAAGTCCTCTCAGGGGAGCCAAGGGCTCCCCTGAACCCCAGCAGTACATTGCCCCTGCACCATCTGGCATGGTCCAAAGCCAGTCGTCGTCCAGGCCACGTGTCCATGTCCTCCTCTGCATCTGCCGTGCCGACCCGACGGTAGCTGGCCACCCTTGGAGTGCCCACAGTGTCCTGAGAGCTGGGTGCAGGGGGCCCAGCCCCACCTGTGCAGCACCCAACCATTCCAGTGCCCCTGGAGTTCCCTGCACCCCAATGCTCAACTCACCCCACACCGTCCCCGTCTTGCCCTCTCCCACCGCATGCTCCTTCTGTGCATCCAGTGCCCCCTGCACCTGTAGCCTCCCAGCGAACTCAGACCCCACCAGGGCCCATGGGTCGCCCGAGCTCCACATCCCCTTACTCCCTTGGTGGCCACAGAGCCCAGTGCCTCTGTGTTAGCAGTGCCTGGAGCCTCTGGCCACCCCACACCCATGCCCCATGCACTCCAGGCATCCAGAGAGGCCCCTCACGCCCCGTTTGCTTTCTTCCCTCCTGCGCCCTCGCCCTTCCTAGGTGCCCATGGTCACTGGGGCAACCCTGGCGTCTTGGGGAGGCGGTGCAGAGCCACTTGTGAGCCTGAGTGGGCCTCCTGGCACCAGCCTGGAGCTCTGTGCCTGCTGTGCCCCAGGCCCCTGTGCTTGCCCTGCCCTTCCCAGCCCAGAGTCGGCTCCCCCGACCACCCTTTTTGTAACAGTTTTTTTTGAGACGGAGTTTTGCTCTTATCGCCAAGGCTGGAGTGCAATGGCATGATCTTGGCTCACTGCAACCTCCGCCTCCTGGGTTCAGGCAATTCTCCTGCCTCAGCCTCCCGAGTAGCTGGGATTACAGGCACGCGCCACCATGCCCAGCTAATTTTTTGTATTTTTAGTAGAGACAGGGTTTCACCATGTTGACCAGGTTGGTCTCGATCTCTCAACCTCGTGACCACCCGCCTCAGCCTCCCAAAGTGCTGGGATTACAGGCATGAGCCACTGCGCCCGGCCTTTTTTTTTTTTTTTTTTTTTTTGAGACAGCATCTCCTTCTGCTGCCCAGGCTGGAGTGCAGGGGTGCCATCTCAGCTCACTGCAGGTAGTCTCACTGTGTGGGCTCAAGCAGTCTTCCCACCTCAGCCTCCTGGTAGCTAGGACCACAGGTGTGCACCACCACACCCAGCTAGTTTTTAAATTTTTCGTAGAGACAAGGTCTTTCTATGTTGCCCAGGCTGGTCTCAAATTCCTGGACTCACGTAACCCTCCCTTCTCAGCCTCCCCAAAATGTCGGCATTACAGGTGTGAGCCACTGTGCCCAGACTCTCTTGTGTGAAACAGGGTCTCTTTCTGTTGTCTAGGCTGGAGTCTCAATGATCATAGCTCACTGCAACTTCGATCTGCTGGGTTCAAGCAATCCTCCCACCTCAGCCTCCGAAAGCACTGGGATTACAGGCACCAGCCACTGCGCCCAGCCTTTTTCTGCTTTCTGTTTTTCTTTTTTCTTTTCTTTTTTTTTTTTTTTTGACATGGAGTCTTGCTCTGTCCTCCAGGCAGGAGTGTAGTGGCGTGAGCTGAGTCCATCTCAAAAAAAAAGCAAACAGAACATTTATAGGTGTCAGTTTCGCGGAATTGTCTGATAGTGTTTTGTGACTCTTCTATATTCTTGCTCATTTTTTCTAGCTATTTTGTTCATTATTGAGGAAGTGCTGTTGGAATCATTAGCCCTTGTTGAATTGTCCATTTTCCCTTTAGTTCTGACAGCTTTTGCCTCTTGGATTTTGAGACTCTGTAGTAAGGTGTGTGCATGTTTGTGAGGCAATTCCAATCTTCTTAAACTTATTAAGGCTTGTTTGTGGCCCAGCGTGGTCTTGAGAATGCTCCGTACGTGCTTGAGAAGAGTGTGTCCTCTGCTGTCGTTAGGTGGAATGGCTGTCCGTGTGTTAGTTGTCATTGGTGTCTAATGTTTAGGTTTCCTGTTTCCTTATTGATCTTCTGTCTGGTTGTTCTGTTCATTATTGAGCGTGGGGTATTGAAATCTCTTACTATTCTCGTGTTGTTATTTCTTCCTTTAGTTCTGCTCGTGTTTGCTCTGCTGTTAGGTGGGAAAATGCCATTCGCATTTCTTGTAAAGAAGGTCTGTTGGTGACGAACTCCCTCAGCTTTTGTCTGGGAGTCTCCATCTTGCCTTTGTTTTAAATGAAAGCTTTGCTAGGAATA